AATCCCGGAAGCAATCAATCTGCTCACTTGGTAACAGGTTGCCATTCATTTCAGTCTTTTCATTTTGAAGGAACAACATGGGCAATTAAAGAGACACTAAAATCATGGCCCAAATCAGTGGTTCCCAACCTTTGGGCTTCCAGGCTTCCAATTCCTAACCGGTGGTAAGATGGCTTGGATTTCTGGGAGTTGAAGTCCAAAACACTTGGAGGCCCAAAGGTTGGGATACATCTTCCTTATACTAAAGTAGAAGTGATTAAATAACTTTGATCATGATGGATGTTCATAAGCCCTTCACTTAGTATCTTATAATCAATTAATAGATTTGGAATGGATGCACTCCTGTTTGCTCAATAGGTAGATGACTTCCTTCAAAGTCTGGTCAATTTTGACAAAGAACATATTCCTGAAGCAACTGTTAAAGCTGTGAAAGAAGATTACCTGAGTGATCCAGAATTCAACCCAGAATTTGTACGGACCAAGTCTTCCGCTGCTGCTGGTCTTTGTGCATGGGTTATTAATATTATTAAGTTCCAGGAGGTAAGAGTTGAAAATATTATTTTTCTTAACATTGCAGCCATGTTTCTAAATTCCATAAAGAATTATAACCACAGTTGTACTATGAATTTCCTTATTATCCCCAGCCATCATAGCTCATAGTCCAACACATCTGAAAAACACAAAAACTACTATAGGACGAGCCTGGTATATTTTATTTCTATTTAAGAGGGACTTCGTTTGCAATGGACTGGGATCTTCCCATTAATGGTTGATGATATGTTGGTTGTTTTCTTTGATCAACAAAGAATCTCCCAAACACTTGGTGTGCTCAGTACATGAAATAGTCAAAATGTAAGATCATGACTTAACAATTGAAATGTACTCAATACTTTTTCGTTTGAATTTTGTAAATCTCAGAAACCTCCTGAAGTCATTTCATTTTCAGTGCAAGGAAGCAAAGCAAAGCCAAAAAGGCTGTCTTTCCTCTTTAAATTAATGGCCTCTTGCCATTAGGAGAGGGAAGCAGCAGGGAGAAAGCAGAGCTTGCTGGGAAAGAGACTGAGAAAGAACAGAATTCTGGGAAATGTAATTCAGGAAGGCGAGGGGTCCTATTCCAGAGAATCCAAAAGACCCTGCCCTAAAATACATTTACCAGACTTTGGTCAGCATCAGAAAGCCCCAATCAGGATAGGGGAGAGATGTGTCCCTCCATAGCAGCAGCAAGACAGTGTTTCAATAATTTTTTGAATCTGCAAAGAGGAAGACTGACTGATACTTCAAGTAAGTAAATCTCTGTGCTGGGGTGGGAAGAAATCCCTAAATGAAAGTTCTATTGATTAATATGAGAGACAGTCAATGAGATAGCTGTTGTGGCTTTTAAAAAAAAACATTTTTGTCAAAACTTTTTTAAAAAATCCCTAAAATCAGTAGATGTGTGAATATTTCTGAAGGTTGGGGGAAATGATTCCCCTGTTATATTGAGTCATTGTATAGAAAATTCTAGGCAATAGCTCTTGTTGCGTTTTTTTTTTTTACAAAAATGTTGTTTTGAAAATTCAACAAAAATCCATGGATAAGTGAAATGTTCTGAAACTTGATGGGCCAACAGTGATAAATGCATTCTACCATTGTAGCAAGTTTCACCCCAATAGCTATAAAAATGAGGGAGAAAGGAGTCCCTGAATTTTCCCCATTTGCACAATTACTGTAACGAAAAAGCAACGAAATTTCGTTACTTTTCTTATAGTAACAAAACTTTTACTAGCAACACTTTAGAAAACACTCTAGAAATGAAACACCGGTACCCCCTAATTTTGTAGTGAGATTGAAACATTTTTTTTTCATCGATCGCACAGCCCTAATGTACACTCTAAATGTGGTTGATAATGTTTAAGTCAGGTTCAGTTTCTTTACTATATGCATAAAGGTATGGTGCCACACTGATGATTAAACACTTCATTTATATTTGCATGTCAATCTATTAGTGAGCTGTTAATTCAAGTGCTCTTATGATATATTTTATTGCCATTACTACATTTATCACAGGTAGATGCAAAATGTAGACAAAGGTATATGTTCTCATTAATGATGAGCAGCCTATTCATCTTACTAGAATGTAATTAATGCTAGATACAATACTTAATTTTTCACTCTTTGTCATGATGCATATTTAGCATTTCTTCTACCCTTTATCAATTTGCTTCCCTATTGTGTGGACCTCTCCAAAAGATATATGTAAGTGTTGACTTTTATGGGGTTTTTTAAAGTTAGCAATTTATTTTTAGTGCAGTCTAACCTGCATCATTTATACAAACTTTAGAGGTGTCCATATTGATTATGTATACATTTTCCCCCTAAATGACTAGATGCTAATGTTGATCAGTTGAATTTATAAACAAAATTGAAAATAAAATGGTAACATTAGAGTGTTAAAATCTTATATTAAATGTTAAGATGCCATATTGTACTTTTTATCTGATTACATATTTTACGTGAGCCTTCGGAGCCCATTCTACAAGTATAATTTCACAGATGCTAAATATCCTTGTTTTTCATCCAGTATGAAATTTGTTAAAATTTACAAGTTTAAAAGCCTGCAGAGCCAAAGTGACAGGCACCTCTAGTCCAAACGTGCATCCAGTGCTCTACAGTTTTGTTGGAGGATTGGTATTGCAACCAACTTTAAATCCGATTATGACTCTGTAATGGAGAGGTGGGAAACTGCTAAACGACAGTGGATTTCACCTGTTGCAATTATTAACATGGACTCCTAAGGTCTCACCCATCCATTTTCTTGAAAGTGGGTTTTCTGTTGTTGATTTTAAATATATATTTTGGTCCAGTCCTCTTATTTGAAAGCCAGTAAGCTGAAGATCACTAAACTATCGAACTTCTAGTTCATACCTCAGCACTTAGAGCCACTATTTTAACTCACCACTAGAAACTGCACAATATATACAACTCCCTTCTGTTGTATTAATCTACTGATATCCAATCCTGCTTAGTTATGATGTATAAGTCAAATGAAGTAGATTGGACTATTGTATTTAATTGTATTTCTTTTTTCTTGCACCTGTCTCCCTTTTCCCTTTGTATCATATTCCTGGAGTCACCACTCAGCTCTCACGTCTACTCCTTAGCAAGCTTCTTATTTACCACCATTACAGTCATCTTGTTAAATTCCTCTGTTTGCACTTGGTCAGTAGTTTTGCCATATTCTGTGAAAAGCACAGTTTAAAAACATCTCTTCTTCTGTTTTATAGGTGTATTGTGAAGTAGATCTGAAACGTCAAGCCCTGGCACAAGCCAATGCAGACTTGATCATTGCAGCTGAAAAACTTGACTCCATCCGAAGAAAACTTGCTGTAAGTTTTATCACCTTTTACATAATTCTGTAGACTTTCCCTTCTTTCTTAGGTAGCAAATAGACAACTTTCCTTCTCAAGATTTTAAAATTACATTTAAGTTTAATGAGGTTATTGTATTGAGTACTATGTGGAGAGGTTCTTCTACTGTTGCAGTACTGCTCCTCATGTAGTGGGACTTCCCTTTCATGAATCCCCTCAGCACTTCTTCTCCTACACACTCCAGATTTATTTTACAGCATTCCTAGATACTACAACCCAAATTTGTATATGAAGAAGGCTGTATGAGAAAGGCCAAATCTATTACAAAAATGTTATCTGTTCAACTAGTGAGTAGACCTCTAGGGATACAACTGAGTATTTACATAGAAATATGTGAGTTTCCATACTGAATTGTTTACTGCCTTCCACTTTTGCTTGATGCACCATTTTGCAATTAAAGTATCAAACATTCTTGCTCTTATTACCTGAGTCTTTATTGTTTTTTAGCCTAAGCATTAGAAGGTGAAAGTTGCAAAGCTACATACACCCATTTATCTGGGTATAAGCTCCATTGGAAACAATGAGACGGCTCATATGGACAATGTGTTACACCCTGTAAGCCATGTAGATGACTTTGCTTCCTGGTATTTGCAGAATGTACTTCCAATATCAATGTATACCGCACTGACATTGGAAGTACATTCTGTAAATACGAGGGAGAAAAGGCATCTAAATGGTTTACAGGGGTGTAACTTTGGATCTGCTGTGTGAAGAATATAATTGAATATATATGATAGAATATAATAATAAGAAATATACATGTTGTCTATTGTTCAGACACGGTCTCAGGATATTATGGTAATGCCAAAGCTTTTTTGATCCTCATTTCCCAGGCCATTTTAAATTAATGCAGTATTGGTTACTTGACTTGTGTCGTTATACTGTCTCAGAGACAAAAAAGTTGGCCTCCAAATAAACACAGTTATTGTTTACTGAATGCAGATTCAGTGGAGAGCAAACAAGGAAAATAGGAATGTTTGCACTAAAGCAAATTAATCCTAATGCTTGATTAGCATGCTATTACTAATGCACTTTAACACTTTGATGATAACTCCAGAATTCTAAAAAAGGTTCAGGGGAAATTGATGTAAACCAAGTCCTGAAATGCTGCATTGAACTGTCTGTGAAACATAAACAGCTGGAGGGAATGGAAAGAATACAAGGGAGATGTGGAAGAAAGAAGGGCAAGGAAAACTGGCATATTTCTAGAGAGAGAACAGGAAGCAAACCAAAACAAAAAGAACTTGAAACTCTGAATACTTTGAGGCAATCTGATCAAAAACAAAGTGTTGCCGTTTCTTATGAAATTCAAAATCAGTCAAACTTAGAACTGGCTCATTTAAATCAATGGGACTTCAACCTTGGCTAACGTAAGCTTCATTGATGTCAGTGTGTCCAGTTCAAGTGTCACTTAGGCCCTTTTCACACTCCCATATAATCCAGATTATCAAAGCAAATAATACATATTATTTGCTTTGATCTGGATTATATGAGTCCACACTGCCATATCATCCAATTCAAATAAGATAATCTGGATTTTATATGGTGGTGTAGAAGGGGCCTAACTTTGTATTTTAGCTTATATGTATAGTTTATACTAATTCAGCAATATGTAGTTCAACCCAAACATTAAAAACTATACATTACAATACATTCCCTCTATCAATTGACATGAAATTACTGAAGTCCAAGCAGTATCAGATAATAAAACAGGAAACTTGAGCTGGGACCTAGTTCCACCTGATAAGGAATAATGAAGTACAAAGTTGCCGTTAACCTTCATGACTTTTTCGAAGTTACAAAGCTAGTTATAAAAACAAGTTATAAAATCTACCAGTAGGTGAGCATTTCATTCTATTTATGATTTGACGATTTGAGTTCAAAAGGGATGTGATATAAGACTAGGGAACAATGAACATTTGAACTCAAAATGTTCCACGTTTTTTTCTTCTTCTTCACAATTCCAAAAGATGGTTTCTCAATAGAGATATTGATTTTCTAGCATTTGTCCAACAATAATCCACAGAAACGAGCCTGGTCACTCAACTGAAATGTTGGTCTTAATTCAAGGACTTTTTACTTGATACATTAACCTGTTGTTTTTCAATTATATCATGTGCGGGAGGGGCAAGAGAGGGGGAGAGAAAAGAGCTCACATAACATAGTGACCAGGGTTCCCACAATTCCCATGCTTATTCTGCCAGGTGGCCACAGCTCAGAGTCAGAAAATAAGCACATATTACTGTTCTGCAATAGTCTCTTTAACTACTGTATACAATCATGTATAAGTCAAGGGCAGGTTTGGGGGTCAACATAAGGATTTTTTTAAAATCTAATATGTGGTTAAGGATCATTTTATGGAGAAGAAACCACTCCAGGTATTCCAAAAGGTCTTTTGCCACTCTATTCAGAGAATGTGATAATTCCTTTTTGATAAAATGTAAGGTACAGTGCTAACTCTTATCTGAGTAGAGCGGCAAAAGGCAAGAGTTGTCCATTCTGGGAGAACTGAAGAGAACCTCTGACTCCCTCTACTCTTTCTGCCATGGCACTGCTACCATCCTTTTTAATGCCCAAGCAAGAAAATGACAGTGGTTCTTTGTCACTTCCCCTCAACTGAGCGGCAAGAGAGTAGAAGGCCTCAGTGTTTCTTTTTAGTTCTCCCAGGATGAAGTACTGATCCATTTAGTTTTCTTGGCAAGAATACTGGGGTGGTTTGCCATTGCCTTCCCCAGGGACAGTGCCTTGGACAGCGAGAAGATCCAACCAGTCCATACTTCAAGAAATAAAGCCTGACTGCTCATTGGAGAAGAGAATGATACTCGGGGAAATGGAAGGAAAAAGGAAGAGGGGCCGACCAAGGGCAAGATGGATGGATGGCATCCTTGAAGTGACTGGATTGACCTTGAAGGAGCTGGGCGTGGTGACAACCGACAGGGAGCTCTGGCGTGGACTGGTCCATGAAGTCACGAAGAGTCGGAAATGACTCAACGAATGAACAACAAGAAGGATGAAGTAAGCTAAGCAAGGTCAGCCCTAGTTAGCACTTTAATGGGATATCGCCACTGAATACTAAGTGCTGTCAACTAAGTTTCAAAAGAAGAAACTAACAAATCACCTTGAGTATTCCTTAAGAAAATCTTATAAAATTCTTGGGGAAACTATAAGCTGATAGATAACTCCCCCTCAATGGATTGTCACCTTGTTGTGGTGAGGGGGCTTGCATGTTCCAATGAACCTGTGGGTGTAACCAACTGAGTAATGCACTCCCTGGGGCGAGGGGGAGGTTCCAGACCGAGCACAATCTGGAGACCTCAATGGTGGATCAGGTGGAAGATAACATGGTACATGTTACAATGGCTAATGAAGGTGGAAGAAGGCTGCAACAGATTGAGAAGCCAGCGTCGTCATCTTAACCACGTCACTGGTTGGGATCCTCGCTCTGTGAACACTTTGTGTGATTGGCTGTGCACTGGCCTCCCCACATTAAAAAAAAAATTCACGCACAGCCATCTTCCAAGAATTTGGAGGGCCATCATACTCAGACAATGAGGAATTGCCTAAGAAGAAGAAGGAGAAGAAAGATAGGTGACTCAAAGCTACATAAAGGCACCCAAGAGTATCATCCAGCAACACAACAAATAAGGTTGAAAGGACACACACACATCCTGGTTGATGATAACAAAACCTTCAAGTTTTTTCTCTGGTTTGTGACCATTGTTTGTGAGCCAAAAAGGCAGAAAATAACAAACAAAGGCTACATAGTTCTTCCCTCTCTAGTTTTGACATGACACATTAAGAATATCCTAGTGCTGACTCTTCTTTGTAGGATATTTTTGTCAAGATATTTTGTGACGTTAAATGTATATCAGTGAAGTCAAAGCTAAACACGAATGAGTTTAATGAAGCTTAGTCCCAGGCAGCTATGAATTTGAGTTCAGTCACTTTCTCTGACCTTGTGAGGTGCTACAGTGGTTTGTTTTGCACATCCTCATTTTGTGGTAGCATTGTAAAACAGAGTTTCTCTGTGTATAAATAACTGAAAAGCAGTGTGTGTGTGTGCACGTAAATGCATGCACACACACACACATTTCTGCCAAAGATTATGATTTTATTTATTTATTTGTATTTAAGGGTTGACATTATGTCTTTTACTGTTGATACTGTTGGAATGATTACTCTTGGAGTATGACTTCTAAGAACTTATTTGATCATTGAATTTGACCCTGGTGTTGGAAAAGATTCTCTGCCCTTCTAATGGAATCCAAGAATATGTCATCATCTAGGTGTTAATTACAGAAATAACTGTCCTTTGCTGGAAGTAAGTTTTCCTCCTCCTCCTTTTCCTCCCCCACTTCAGATGGCTCTTTGTTTTGCTTTTTTGATGGATACTGACATTCTGAGAAATCTCAACAAAACAGTTTATCACAATATTCAATTTCACAGAAGGGCCCAAACACTTTTTCCAGTGGTTCAACCGATATTTCCCCCTTTCTTCCTCCAAAAAAATTAAAATTGCACTGATATTTGAATCCTTTCAGTAGTACCATTTTTTCAGGAATGGTTGTGGTGTGTGGAGCATTTTCTCTATTATTGCTCAGCTGATTGTTACATTGAAGCCTTGCGTATTACTACCTCGATGCTTGGCTGGCAAACAGGAGCATTTCCAGGTAGATTTAAAGAAAGCAAAAATGACCAGCAGCTTGCAATAACACAAGGGATTCCTATCACCGTGGCTCAGAATCCTGCAACACAACACAAACAGATCCTTTGCATAATGACTAGTGGGGAGGGGGGTGTACTGTTAATAACGGTTATCTTTCAGTAACGTAGCAACAGCCAAATCCTTGAAAAGAGGAAGTTTTCATTTATAGAGCATTTCATTTAAACATTGAAATTTGGTATAATGTAGAGTATGAAACAAGTTTTGAAAGGAAGCTAATCATTAAGAAGGAATGCAGTGGGCATTTAATAAGTGGAAGGAACTGCAAGATAATTAACTGGCATGCATAAAGATTCATGCTTTATACCAAAATTTTAATTTTGCACATAAATGTGCCTGATGTAGGCAGCATTTAATCACCTAGCTGACAGGAGTAACTACTTTCATTTAACCTTGACTGAAGATCATGAATTCTAACAGGTTTAATTGGATACATCATTTAACAGAATGAACAGAGCAAATTTTTCTCAATTCATAGGTTCTGATTGACATGCACCAGCAATAAGGCGTTACACAATTAAAGCTGATCTGTATTCCTGGCCTGGGCACCAATTGCCATAGTGATGTGACACCGTTTGATCACGGTGGCACTGAAACTATACTGAATTTCCCCTTGTTTTGAAAAGGGCAATGCTTTAAAAGAGAGAGAGAGAGATTTGGGCACTTAAAAAAATTAATCACATTGATATGCATAAAATGCAAGGGAAGGAACATGTCTTTTTGGTAATTCAAAGAAAGGAAGGGAAATGGTGTAATCAGGTAATGAAAGAGCAATGCAATGCAAGCCTTCTATGAAGTAAATCCTGCTGGGTTCTTAGGATATCAGCTATAGGATATCCTTATTGTTTTTTTAAGTACATTATTCATATAGTGTCAAATATGTGCCCAGTCTACATCAGGGATGTATCTCACAAAAGATAACAAAATTAGTATTCATTTTCACACATCAAGTTGTGTAAATGCAATTTAATTTTACAAGCAGATTCTATCAGCTACCATGGCCAGCTGAAGACAGATGTGATTTTTAATAGCTAATTGATTTGGTACCATCTTCTAACTTCAGCTACAGCCCTGTTCTGTTGTTGTTTGTTTGTTGTTGTTGTATGCCTTCAAGTTGTTTCAGACTTAGGGCAATCCTAAATCAACTCTACTGTGGAATTTTCGTGGAAAGATTTGTTCAGAAGGGGAATTGTCTTTGAAATTCCTCTGAGTTTGAGCGTGTGTGACTTCTCCAAGCTTATTTATTTATTTCTTGTCAAAAGCACTGTGTGTGTGTGTGTGTGTAAATGAATATGTATAAAACTGATAAAATAAAGATAGCACAAGCAGCTAAATAGTTTTAGACCAAAAATGGGCAACAGCAACTGCACTGTCTGTAGCTTTAAACAGTTCTTCCTCTGTGCATGAGGCAGGGCATTGTGAGCAAGCACACAGATGCAGAGTTGTTTGTTCTGCTCTAGAGTTGTACAAGGTGGAGGATTCTTCTAGGTAGTGCCATTTTGCCAGGTTGTCTTTTGATCTGCCCACTCCGCTTCTGAGTCTGTTCAGGGACTTCCAAGTTGTCCATTCTTGGTTTGACCTTGGATCCTCATGGGGTGGGAGTCATCTAGTTGGAATGGCCTGATTTTTCTGCCCAGAGGGATATTCTTGCTGTTGCTTGAGGAACAGTCAAAGGAGTGATGGTTCTCAATAAACTTGTCCTTGATTTAAGTCTACTGGGACGAGGCTGATAGCCATACACTTTGTGGCTTTCACAGTGTTCAACCTTATTTCTCTTGCAATTGCAGCAACTTCCTGTTGCACACCAGGGGGGCAATGCCAGCTAGCTTATAGAGTCTATCAACAGGTGTTGGTTTAAGACATCCTGTGATTATTCTACATGTCTCATTCAGTGTTATATTAACCTGCTTTGCGTGGGCAGATTTATGCCAGATGGGGCAGGCATACTCAGCAATTGAGTAAGACAAGGCCAGGGCTGATGTTCTTATTAATTTTGTCCAAGGTCAAAAAGTGAGTTGTCATGGCTGAGCAGAGATTTGAATCCAAAATCATAGTCCAACACTCAAACCACTATACCTCTCAGGAATCAAGTTCTGTTCGGTTCAATTTTGCTTACTTCTGAGTAGGCATATATAAGATTGTTTATCTTGGCCAGAAATCAAGGAAATTCATTATCCTGGTTCTCCCAAGGACTCAAGGCCAACAAAGTACATATATTTAATGGTGTGTATCACAAAATTTCTTTTTTCTTGTAACATTATTTTTGAACAGATCATCCACTGCTGCCACCCCGGTGCCTGAATTCAACTGTGGTACATTATTCCCTCCACTTTGAGTATATATCCTGCCCAACTTACCATTTTATGGAGGAGAAGTCATGCAAAGCAAATATTTCAAAGAAAACTTTGAAGATGACGGGAATATGCAGTCTTTCAAAATGGAGTTGCATATATTTTCTTCACCCATATTTCATACTATGAAATCTTTAGAAAATTGCTTAGGTAAGTTAATGCTGCCCCCAGGCAAATTTAAAGTCCCTAAGCAGCTCTTTCTCACCAACCCACCAGAGGTTTTGCTGCTTCTGGCACCATTCCACAGGTCATATTTTTTTACTTAGATGAACTCAAACTCTTCCTCCCCTTCATCAATCACCAGCAGGGTTTTCCACATCTTTGGGAGGGGAGGCTTTTTTTTAGCACACTGCCATTACATTGGCACAAAGTTCAAGAATAGAAAATACAAAATGATGCCACAACCACAGAATCTATAACATGTTGCTGCTTGAAATAGAAGCTCCTGTCCTAATTATTCTTATGTCTGGAAAAGGCTGACATACATTGACCTTGACCAGTTAACACATACACTTTCCTTTACTCATCTTAAAGGTTTATTTTAAGAAGAAGCGATTGCTTCAGACTTCCCATGCTTCTTCTTTCTGGATGGTTGAATTAAAACATGTATCTATAAAAATAATCGAGCACTCTGCAACATTTTTAAAGATATTCTGTGAAATATTATAAGCCACAAATCCCAATTCCCAAAAGAGTTTCAAAGCAATGTTGTTTTCTCTTCTGTATCAGTGAATTCCCGTGAAAACAAATTGTTTGTCAGGAACTCCCTGGTGGTAGACTTGTAGTCCCTTTAAGCAAAACCCCTCTTTTAGTTCCTGTAATATAAAAGTACAAGCAGTACCCAAATTACAAACAAGATAGGTTTTTAAATTGAATTTGTATGTAAGTCAAAACTGGTACATTTTTAAGTGTAACTCCAGCCGCATACATACACACATACATGCTTTGGATAGCATATGGAAGAGCTAACACCTCTGTGGTGTTTGTTTTGCTGTCTGTGACCCTGTTCTGAAGATTTCACCGCACTTTCTGTACCTGTGAGAATTGGATTTTGAGAAATTTAGTGTGTTGTGGAAACAAAGATTGGTGAGAAAGCTTCAGTGGAGACACCTTTTCCAACTGATAACTCTCTCAGGAGAGGCTTTCACTTCCATGGGGTAGATTTCTCTCACTTTCTGTTGTCTTGCCCCCATTCTTAACTGTATTATTTGTAAGTTGGATGTTTGTAACTGCCTGTATTGGATTGGAGGCAAGGGATGACTTCAGTATATTCTTGCTTTGCCTAATTGAGCATAATATCTTACTTGATAGCATAGGCCAATAAAGGATAAGTAATACAAGTTGTTTAGAGGTTTGATTCCACTCCACATTTTTGTTGTTCTTGTTGTTGCTTAAAATACCCTACTAGTCACTGGAGAGCCAGAATGATGCTGTGGTTTGAGTATGACTCTGGAGACCATGTTTTGATACCTCACTGGACCCCAGAAAAATCTGCAATAAGGGTTAAGGTCAGAAAAATCTTGAAGGTACACAACAATACAGCCAGTTGTGAGTGTATTTACTGATTGAGCACTGATTGTTGGTCAGCTGCTATCAGCTTGCATGGCTTGACTCTGGAACTTGTTCACCCATTCAAACCAGCTGAATTGGAGGTAGGTTGGTGAGAAGAACTGACCCCCTTTGAAAAGAAGCACAAATTGGGTTGTGTCAATACAGTAACTTTAGGGACTTTTAATGAATGAATGGTAATAGAAGTGTGGGCCAAATAAAGAAATGTTACTGCAATGGCTAAGCTAATTTTAGAATGCTTTCTGTTGTGTGAATTGAAGAAGGGATTTTTCCCAAGTGCAATCATGTTTACTCTTTTTCCTGAAAGCATAATTTCACTTCCTACAATATAAAAATAAGACAGCAGTGACATTCTTGTTACTTGTCCTTACAATGTCTAGACTTATTTCTTACTGTTTTTATTTAAAGGAACTAGACACAAACCTGGCTGCCTTCACCAGCGCCTTTGAGAGGGCTACAGCTGAGAAAATCCACTGCCAGGAAGAAGTGAATAGAACTAACAAGACTATTGAGCTGGCCAACAGATTAGTGAAAGGTCTGGAGGTGAGGTCCTACAGGGCAGGCTAATGAAGCAGCCTACAGAAAGCATGCCTTTGTTATACACTAGTGATCTGACAATAACAGAGGCACTTAGCAAAGAACCTGATGAGCTGAAAAAAATTATGTCATTATCATTCATTTTTTTCCATAAAGGAAACGTGTTTTTGACCTTTACGTTTTCTTACATTTTGCCTCGTTGCTGTATATATTAGCTGCAAGATTACCTACTAACTAACATGTCCGAGAACATTAAAAAGAAGAGGAATAGCAACCCTTGGGTGCTGGCAACAGACACTTTTTTTTCAAAAGACACTGTAAGTCTGAGCTGCTCTGAGACAACAATTGAACATTTCTTAAAATAACTGCCCTTGGTTGTGACCCAAGAATACAATAGTTATTCCAGTAATAGAAAAATGCTCTAATTATTTTCTTAGGGATGTGCAGAGCATTTTAAAGTAAAGGGATTGGTCATGAGAATAATAATAATAATAATAATAATAATAATAATAATAATAATAATATCTGAAAAGAGAGATTCCAATGTTAGAATGAACCTAGACATGTATGTACATGGTTCACTGATTATGGAAAGCCATTCCATATATGTTCAGATTCTGACATTGAAAGTAAACCACGAACATTGTAAAAAAAATTATTGGATAGGATTTGCAGATTACTTGAGTGAAATTCTACTCACAAAAGGGCATACTTTTTGTAACTGGAATTGCCTTGTCAATGGTATTCACCAACCTAAATATTTGTTGTTGGATTTAATTCTGAAATGCATCATATTTTATGGTTTAATAATAAAAACTTTATTTATATTCTGTCCTATTTTTCCCGTTGCATTGGGAGAGGACTGTGCTATATGCTAAAAATTTACAGGTATAATTTTTTATATTTGTGAGTATAATCTGGTTATGCTAATGTGTCTGATGGTTTGAATGAGCAGTTGTAAGAAATAATAGCGCATTGGACTGACGGCATCTACTGTATAGATGGATGGGCATTTTAGATATGGATCCTGTCCTGCTCCTAGTATTCCTAAATCACAATGCACCTGTGCAAGAAAATATGAGATTTTTTTGTTTTTTGTTTTGGTGTTGAAGATGCTCTACAAAGGCAAAATAATGAGCAAATGAAGTTGCCATTTCATCATTTTGAAATCCCAGAAGGAATGATCTAATTTCATTCATTTGATATAAACCTTTATATATATAAAAAATATTGCATCAAGCCATCTATTTAGCTTAGGCTATAGAGATGTATGACATGAATTGAGAGAGCTGTTTGCTGTGATTCACATCTTGGTTACAGTAGGTTACTATATATTGGTGTGTTACTTGAAGATGATTGAAAACATCTTCTGTCTCTGATGTTAGTGAGCAGATTGCTGGCATATAACTGACAGTATGTCTCTTTTAATACATATTTATTAGATTCTACTTGTTTCCAGACACAGTTCAAAATACTGTTATTGATCACAAATGGTCTAGGACAGTAGTTCTCAACCTGTGGGTCCCCAAGTGTTTGGCCTTCAACTCCCAGAAATCCTAACAGTTGTTAAACTGGCTGGGATTTCTGGGAGTTGTAGGCCAAAACACTTGGGGACCCACAGGTTGAGAACCACTGGTCTAGGATTTGAGTGTCCTAAGGAGACATTCTCCCTTATAATAAATCAAAATCAGCCAGTGAAACCATTTTGTTTCCATACTATATTGGGTGCATATACAATGTAGAATTGGCCACCACTTTATCTGCCAGGGCTCGGTTTTATGGAAACATGGGAGTTTGTAGTTCTACAACATCTATTACCTTCTTAAGTGTGCTGCTACCTCCCCAAATTACAACTCCCAGGATTGCATAATATTATTAAGCCATGGCACTTAAAGTGGTTTCATGTTGCATTAATTCTACAGTGTAGATCCACCCATTGTCATCAGATAGGAGCAAGGCTCTGCACTACAGAATACTCCCATCGGGGATAGCTATTTTTTGACATCTTCTTTTGGAAACAGATGCAGACTTTTTTGTATTCCACTGAGCTTTGAGCACAGGCCACTTGCCTCAAGGAGGAAATATCCAAAACCTGGAACAAAACCTGAATGTCTCTCTGCTTTATTTTATTCCTATGTTAAGATAATTGCTTTGTTATTTTAAGCTGGACATATCATGAATCAATTTTGTGATTTTTCCATTTCAGTCAGAGAATGTGAGATGGGCTCAGTCAGTAGCCCAATATCATCAACAAGAGAAAACCCTGTGTGGAGATGTGCTTCTAACAGCCGCTTTTATTTCTTATGCTGGCCCATTTGCCAAGTGGTATCGTTATGAGCTGGTTCAAAATCTGTGGCTGCCTTTCTTGAGGAGCCAAAAGGTAATGTAGAAACATCAGAATCTTTAGACAAGATGTTTGGAGAAATTATTTTGGAAACCATTCATCCCCTGTGTGTATGTACGGTTAATTTTAAAAACAAACAAACAAACAAACTCTCAGTGTACGTTCAGATGAGCAAGGTGTTCCTTAAGCTTGTGCATTTCGTTTCTGCTGGTCGAATTTTGGGAGACCCTGGATCTGTTTTCATACATCTGCCAAAAACAGGCAGGTAGTCAAATAACCGTTTTTGTTCCGTAGCCAAAGAATGTTGCTAGATCTGGCCCATTTGTGGCAATGGAGGGGGGGGGGGCTCCCTGGTCTCCCCTTCCTGTCATTTTTAGTGCTATCAGGATGAAAATGACCGCACTTGGAGGACACATCTACCACTGTTAACCTATCAAGTTTTATAACATTTGGGTTATCTCCTGAGTTTTAGGAATTTCTTTTCTTTTTAGAGCACAGAGAAAAATATAAACAGAAAGAATCAGTTTGAATTGAAATTACAGATCAGTTGGTAATTAGGTAGTAGTTTTTGAGGATGAGGCTTTTCTGTTTGTTTGCTGGGAAAGTATACAGAAAAGTATTTTCTGAAGGAGGGGAGGGGAAGGGAGGAGAAAAACTAAAGGGTAACTCAAGGCTCTCAGAGCCACCCAAATATTTTTAAAGAAAAGCACACCAAGAACAAAGAGAGGCTCTTTCTTTCTCCCAAGTCCCCAAACATGCATGTGCATCCCACCCACCCGTCCCACTGAATAAAAAGAATCACGAAAATCAAGGAAAATAAAAAAGATTCAATGCTAGAGAGAGGCCAAGCCAACCCAAGCCAAAAAATAAATCTGAGAGCAAACAGCAAGGCAATTGGACTGAAACACCTCTCTAGAGCCAGGACATGACTGAGAGCAATGGAGGTGCTCACCCCATCAAATAGACACAGCTTGCATGAGACACATCACAGTGTTCTTTTATTCTGATTGACCCAACAGGCAGGGCTCACAGGGAAACCCCATGCGAGCACGTGGCAGCCTCTTTGCGCGTCGTGTGATGCTGAATAGGAGAGGAAGAACCATGACTGGCTGCTGCATAGCCCATTTCAGCCGAAAAATATAGCAACTGAGCCCTTACCGTTACGACCAGCCAAACAAACCAGATAGGCCAAAGGGAATCGACCAACCCGAATCCCTGCACCAGCCTAGTGTATATCCTGTGAAAGCCTTTAAAAGTTTTATTTATTTATTTATTTTGCCTGTGTATGAGCAAAACATTTCATTGCTTAATGTTGAGCTTAACTATAACAAGATTTCCTCTTTCTCAAATTGTTTAACTTTAATTCAGGTGCCAAAGATATTGACATTTCAAGATGACAGCAGAAATTTGTAGTTTTTGCAGCGGGCCCATTCTTTGATCTTAGTAGTGAATATTATGCAAGATTCTCCAACTTGGTCTTTAGAATAGATTTATTTATTTGTTTGTTTGTTTATTTATTTATAGAGGGGCAAAATTTGTTTTCTGTACCAAAAAATGCTCACATGCAAATTTTGTGCAAAATGAAACCCCTAACTGCAAATAGTTTTTTAAAGTGCACAATTATAAAAGGCTTTCTTGCAGTAGGAAGAAAATTGCTAAAATTACATATTGTTTCATTCAACACCTAATTTGATGATAAATTACACCCATAAATGTTATTCACTTTGTTGTGTTGCTGTCATCCTGCACTATATTGGTCTACAGGCCCCTTAAAGTTATTTATGAGATAGGAGCTTCTCAAATTGAAACAATATTTTCCACTATGAATTTTAAACTTCAAGTCCTTAGTGTTTGTACAGGGGGGGGGGGGAGAGACACTCACATATTACCATTTTTACATCAGATTATATCTTTTTCTCTTTTCCCAACTGACTTTTATGGGTGTCTCTAGGATTTCATAAGAAAGAACGACTTTATACTTATGCAAAATAAGATTTAGTTTAATAACATACTATCAAAAACAGGTATTATCTTTACTAAAAGTACATTTCTTATGGTAATCAAGTAACTCACAATAAAACAAAACATTTCAATGTGAAGTTCATATTTATTTAAATTATAATGCGTATTTATACCTTATGAGATGGTCACAAATTAAAATTAATGTTTTATTTTAAGGCTTGTAACTAAGTACACTTTTTTTCAAAATGTCAGCGTAAACCTGCAATAATTGCCAAAATTTGGATGATTTTGAGTATATTCTGCCATTCAGTTTTTAACATAAAGAAGTTTAATTTTGTTTTCAAAAGAACAAAAATAATAACTCAAATAAACAGTATAAAAAGGGGGGAAAGAAGTACCATAAAAGGATATAACATGTGAGTTGTGGAGCTATGTTAGTTAATTAGTTCTATACGTAAGTCTCTGTCATTCTATTTTGATACAAATAAAAATGATGAAGGGACTGATCATGTTTGTGGTATTGGCCCCACACTTGTCTTCGTATAAAATGACTGGACTAAGTCATTACAATAAACCACAATTCATCATAATGTGAATAAGTCCAGGCTAAGCCTTGAGTTCTCTCACTCATTCTTATTTCTGATGAGCTGCATTTTGTTTTGTCATCCAGTCCCAACCAACACTGGTTAATCATAACTATCATTGCTATTGTGTATCTTTAAATCATTTTCAATTTATAGTCAGTTTATTTGAAATCAGTCATCTTCAGTTCATGAGTTATGAATTTGTCTTGTTTCAACAAATTATACTTAAGATTAACCATGGTATAGAGAAGTGGTTCCCAACCTGGGGTCCGTGGACCACCAGTGGTCCGCAACAACGAAAATATGGTCCACGGCCTCACCATTATTAAACCGTTGCCTTGAAACCACACAGCAATGAGAGTGATTGGTCTCACCAAACCATCTTACAGTGCTGAGGCAATGGGGTTGTCAGGAGCAGAGAGGCTGACTACCTGCGAAAGAGTGCTACTACAACATAAGCTCTAGATTATTAAATATGGTTTTCTGTAGGCGAGCTGATAATAATAATAATAATAATAATAATAATAATAATCCTTTATTATAATAAACCTACCATCTCCTGAAGGACTCGGTGCGGCTTACAAGAGACCGAGCTGAAATACAATAGTAAAAACAACAGCAACACAGGTAGGCGGGTCCCAAACCGTGGAGGGCTTTGTAGGTAAGCACCTGCACCTTGAATTGGGACCGGAAAATGAAAGGCAGCCAGTGGAGCCCCTTAAACAGGATGGTTGACCTCTCCCTGTAAGGAGCACCAGTTAGCAACCTGGCCGCCACCCGTTGGACCAATTGAAATTTCCGGGCCGTTTTCAGATGGTGACTACTGGGTGGCATATGTTTTGTATCAGAAACTAGAGCTGATGTGGGTCTAGCCAATGCAATTTTCTGAATCAGCATCCCAAATAACCAAACCGAATCTAAAGTTGACGAAAAGCTGATTCGTAACCCTTTCGGTACTAATGTTGGAAAGTGGTCCCTGGTCAAAAAAAGGTTGGGAACCACTGGTATAGAGTTTGGACATAATGTACTATTTGCTTAACTAAAGTTGAAATGAAATCTGAGCTTCACACGATTTTATTAGAGGAGAAGGCTGTGGAAAGTACATAAGGCCAAAGTTCACCTGGGCTCATTTTCATTATGTAAAGTGAGATCCAAACACATCCGAGAAGGGCAAGATGTTACCTCTTCCCCATTCCATGTTCAGATGCCAATTCAATGTTATTTTAATAGGGTAATATTTTCCACTTATTTGAAGACAGTTGGCTATCTTAGGCCCCATCTACACTGCTATATAAACCAGTTTCTGAATTCAAATTAACTGCATTGAACTGGATTATATGGCAGCATAGACTCATATAATCCAGTTCAAAGCAGTTAATCTGCATTCAGAAACTGGATTATATCGCAGTGTAGATCCAGTCCTAGTGGACCTAGGATGGACCTTTGTGTCCTTCAAGAGGAAGAATCCCATTGTGAGAGAAAGAGAAGAAATGCATCTAATTAATTAATTAATTAATTAATTAATAGTCGTGAACTTGGGAGAAATAGCCAAGAATTACCACTGCTGCCCTTATCAGCACATTTCCCTCTCACTCTGCCTAATGGCACGGCTGGATCTACACTGCCATATAAAATCCAGATTTTCTGCTTTGAACTGGATTATATGGCAGTGTGGACTCATATGATCCAGTTCAAAACAGATAATGTTGATTATCTGCTTTGATAATCTGTATTATATGGCAGGGTAGATGCAGCCTGTATTAAAGGTTCCCATCTGGTATTCTGTAAAAAGGATGATCTTCATATATAGGACCCTGCATATATTTGAATGTATCTGCATGTTTAGCCTCCCTGAAAATGCGTAACATTGAGAGCTGGGACCATCAGGTGCAATTCTCATTAGCCCTTCTATGCTTGTTTTCACACTGATTACTTCTCTTGTGACATATATGCGAAATAAGCTCTGGATTCTGCTTCTGCTATTTATCATGCACAATTTCTATAAACCTTTGTGTTTCTTAGGCTTGAAAATCAGTGTGATGACTGCACAAAATCTCTTTGTGCTCTTGTTGATCCTATTACATTCCTCCCTGCCACCTCATACTAAGGACAGAGATGAGTAGTGATGCATTGTCATAGGGACGAGTCACTGAAACTAGTCATTTCTAAGTTAACCTTTATTATTTTAGGTCCCCATTCCAATGACTGAAGGTCTTGATCCGATCTCAATGCTGACGGATGATGCAACAATTGCTAAATGGAACAATGAAGGCCTGCCTAGTGATACCATGTCCATACAAAATGCCACTATTCTTACAAACTGTGAGCGTTGGCCTCTATTGATTGACCCGCAGCACCAGGGGATCAAATGGATAAAAAACAGATATGGCTCAGATCTGAAAGTTACCCATTTGACTCAAAAAGGGTAAGCACTAATTGGCAGCTGTATTAACAAAAATAAAAACATTAATGGCTTTTTAAGTTGTATACCCCAGCTTCTTTTAATTCATGTTTGTGGCTTTCTTTGCATTCAAGGAGACTGTTGCATGTGATCAGAATACCTAGCTCCTTTGAGTCCTGCATTCAGAGAAATGTGGAATATAAATAAAAGGGATGAAAATAAGTAAATGAATAGGTAACAAATGAAAACTTTAAAAGGAATGCTTTGTCAATCTTGTTCATCTTCTTTTAGCACTTTTAATTCAGAAGTCATTTGCACAATTACTGGGAAATAAGGCTCGCTGAATTCAGAGTGTTATAGAATAGGGTGTCTGTCAATTTCTCTGTGGCTTTCTGCAGATATATTGATGTCATAGAAGAGGCTCTTGTGGCTGGAGATCCTGTTTTAATAGAAAATTTGGAAGAGACCATTGATCCGGTGCTTGACCCTCTTCTTGGGAGATACATGCTGAAAAGGGGAAGGTAATCTTGTTTATTTATGTGTATGGTTCAACTTTTAAACAATTTCTGCTTCTTGGGTTTTTAGCTTTCATCATACAGTTCTCATGTCTTTCTAATAGTAAAACTGATTTACTTTTATGCAACTGTATCCTGAAGCTGTTGGTGAAGAGGAAAACATTGTGCCAGGAAACATGGAAAGAGAGAGAGCAAGAGGGAGGGATTTTCTCACCATTTAATTTCAGTGGATGACTCCATATTCTAGTATTGTGTGATAGAAAAATATATTTCTTCCTTTTTTCTGCCTGGCATTGTGTATGCATGTGTGTTGTCCGGTAGCGTAGTTGGTTAAACTGCTGAGGTGCTGAACTTACTGATGAAAAGGTCAGTGGTTCAGATTTGGGGAACGGAGTGAGCTTCCACTGTTAGCCTCAGCTTCTGCCAACCTAGCAGTTTGAAACATGCAAATGTGGGTAGATCAATAGGTACAGCTCTGGCGGGAAGGTAACGGCACTCAATGCAGTAATGCTGGCCACATGACCTTGGATGCATCTATGGACAACGCTGGCTCTTCAGCTTAGAAATTGAGATGAGCACCACCCCCCAGAGTCGGACAAGACTAGCCTTAATGTCAAGGGGAAAGATTTACCTTTACTTTGTCATCATTATTATAATCCTTTACTTTTTTCCAAGCTAAACTCTGGCATCCAATATTATAACATTTCCTTATATAGGGATTTTCTCGTATCTGCTTTCTGCACCTTATTCGGTGCTCTGATATCATTTTTGAGCTGCAGTAGCCAAAGTGCACATGCAGTCGCCCAGCTGTCATGGCCCTGTGTGGTATATAACCAAAGCTGCATTACCCTAAAGCAGAGTTTTCCAACCATTTCATGTTTTTAGATATGCATCATTTCGTGACACAGTAATTCAGTTTTACTAGCAAACCAGAGGTTAAACCAACCCCTTATAAGAGATACAGACACATACATAAATTGTAATAATGAAATGTATGGGGCACAACATATTTCATGAAAACCTTTCATTTATATTTTTACCGAACTGTAACCTGCAGCTGTTGGTGAGGTGGAAAACTGAATTACTGCATTTTGAGTTTGGGCTGATGCACCTCAAAAAACATACTGTAGAACTGGAAAATGTGTAAAAAGGGACCGGAGAAAAATTACTTAAAGATAACCCAGCATTAGGCAACAGTGCAATGAAATTTTAGCAATTATAGAAGACAGTTCCATGCATGCATACTTATAGAAAGGGACTTCAAAAGATTGTTCTTTGTTTGGAATTGTCCCTTACCATCTAAACAAACATCTATTTCATTTAAAATTAGTGAGGGTTTAATCACTTTTTATATCTATGCATCCTGACTACGAATTTCCAAACAACAACAATAATAATGTTGACTTTCATGGCCCAGAAAGTTAGCTCCAGTTACAGATATTATGATGGCTAGATCACAAAGCAAAGTTTTTCTGTTTATCATCACTCCAAGTTACTTTTGGACTTTTGGCCTCAATTTCCTGTCCAAATCCAAATCTTGTTTGTGAGTTTGGCTGCCCGCTGACTCCATCTTTTCTGCGTTGCATCTTCATACCAGCTGAACCCTCCTTATGCAGACTATTGATCCGCTGTTAAGCATAAACTTGAAATGAAAAAAGTACCTTTAATTTCTTGCTCCCTTGGGAGCATTTGATTCCAGCATGGCATTTTGTAGCCTGTTGAGGCTTATTACATTTTCATAGCAATTTTGAATGTGAATGAATGCTGAAATCTTGATTATTTCAGCCTGGGCCAATTGTATAGGCTTTTCCTTATCATAATTAACTAGAAAACCAGGTAACATTTTCATTTCTCCTTTTCTTCCTCCATGCTTCTCTTTTTTCATAAAGACAATTGTAGCCTACACACTACTGGAATCTTTCATTCAGTTTCCTGTACATAAAGACTGCTCACACATAACTTTGTTATCTACCATGTTCTTTCCTTTTGCAGGTATATTCGAGTTGGAGATAAGGAGTGTAAATTTCACCCCAAATTCCAGCTTATCCTCCATACCAAACTTGCCAATCCTCACTATAAACCGGAAATCCAAGCCCAAACCACTTTAATTAATTTCACTGTTACACGTGATGGTTTAGAAGATCAGTTGCTGGCGAATGTGGTCGATGTGGAAAGACCAGATCTGGAACACTTCAAAGTATGGTCATTTGTGAATATATATGCATTCATAATTTGAATATTCTTATACCAAAATATTTTTATTTTTATTCCCTTCTTTAAAAAAAAAAACCCAAACAGTTCTACTGACTGTGTCACATATTTGCTTCAATTCCTCTGAAACATTTCCCCTCCCTCCCAAAAAAGTGTACATTTTTGATGTTTTTATTTTTCTATTCATCCCGAATTTGCTTAGATTGAAAACACACAGCAGTCACAGAAGTAATTACACTGAACTGTGAGAAATAAATTTGGATATTCAGTTCACATTTATCAGGCAAATTCTATACCTGATATTTTGCTAATTTTGTCTGGTTTTAGGTCTGCTTAGTAATGTTCAGAATAAAGGTCACATTATACATTTACTCCTTTTTGTTTTAATCCATTGCTTAATTGCAAAACCCTAAAAATAAGGGCTGTAATAAAGTCTTGGGAGATCAGCAAGTTTTGAAGTTCAGTGATGCATACTTCCTATATTAATGGTGCTTGAATTATAGGTTTGCAACCTTACCATTTTCATTTCAGTCTGAACTCACAAAGCAGCAAAATTATTTTAAAATTGAGTTGAAAATGCTTGAAGATGAATTACTGACACGCCTTTCAGCGGCTGAGAGTAATTTCCTTGGGGATACCCTTCTGGTTGAGAGGCTGGAAACAACAAAACACATGGCAGCAGAAATAGAAATTAAGGTAAAATTATAAATATGAAGAAATGGTAGCTTGCAGCAGCAATGATCATATAGTAAAACAAAAGGGACTTTTACACAGTAAAACAAAGCTGTTTTCCGTAGACATTACACTAACTATTTCTTAGCAGATTGGTTTATGTAATTCTTGGCATTTACTGGAGTCTAATAAAATAGTTACCTGCCATGGTGCTGTTATCAAATGCATAGGATAGCTCTGGAGGGGCATTTTCTTCTTGCTCAGAAGAAAATATATTATTCAATAAAATAAAACCTTCTGAAGAAAAAGACTTGAGAACGTAGATGTGTGTTTAACTTTTAAAAATCGTGCCACAATGCAATTGAAAATTAAGTGTATTAGTTAATATATTTTTCAAAACATTATTTATAAACGGTGATTTTTTTTGTCAAATTGTAATTAACATAAAACCATGTATTACACAAAAATTACACATAAAGCATTCCTAGAATACAAACCTGCCATTTTAAGTAAAACACTAGAAATGAAAAGGCGAAAAAAATGATCACCATGAAATGTGGACAAATTGCCTGGCTTAAGTGTCCCATTCTCAATTGAACTGTCAGTACTAACAGCAATAATATGCCAAGCAGGGCAATGCAGAGGCTCCTAAATGAGGAACTGTGAATGAGCAGGAATGCAATAAACATGTATTTCTAATATCATGAATTGAAATTAATTTCTGCCATTCTGCTACACATCAATGGATACTGGATGCAGTCAGAATGCATATGAGTAAGAAGACATGGCCTAGAAGTGATTGCCTTTTTACAAAGTTGGTACCTACTTTGAATGATTTCTCTTACATTACATTAACAATATTATGTGATATCTAGATAAATAAAAATGTAATGTTCGTTTGTGGGATTAACATAACTCCAAAACCACTGGACGAATTGACACCAAATTTGGACACAATAACATCTATCAGGCCAATGAGTGACCATCACTCATAAAAACACTGAAAAACACAGCAGAAGCGACTTAAAAGCCAAAAAATAAAATAAAAATACATTACATATGCACATAACCACATAAATACACATACACAAATATATACGTACACATATACACACACACAACACATATACACAGACTGGACCACAGCAACGCGTGGCAGGGGACAGCTAGTCAACAATAAATTTGGTGTTCCAAGTGGTAGTGTGTTATATCTAGAAATGGAATGACCTGTATATGGTATTTTTATGGGTTTTAATAGATTCAATGTTCTTTTGGAATTTTAGGCTGGATCTATACTGCCCTATATCCCAGATTATCTGCTTTGAACTGGATTATATGAGTCGACACTGCCAGATAATCTGGGATACTCAGATAATCTGGGATACGAATCTGGGATATAGGGCAGCCTTAGTCTTACTTTTATTTGTTGTATATAACCTTAACATTTTAATATATCAAGCGCAGTTAAACTATTGTCGCCTTGAGTCCCCTTGTGGGAGAAGGGTGGGGTAGAAATGAAGGAAATAAAGAAAGAAATTGGTCTAAAGAAGAGGATGGGGTGATAATACAAGCAGAGTAAACATCACGTATCTTATCAATCTTTCCCCCTTTGCTCAAAATAAAGTCTAGTATGAGGCCCATCAGTCCTTCAGGCAATTCTATAATATGCTTCCACCAAAGGTTACATAGAGTTGTCCTGGATGATCTACCAAATTCCTAGAGAATACATCTCTCAAAATTTTCTAGGTCCTCCAGGGTGACTGTGGAAACCTCCAGCAAAAAATGTTCATTTCAATAGGATTTGCTATTTCCATGGATATGGATGTTGCACTATACAACAACACAAAACCTAGACTAGATAATGTAGATGTACCACCTACACTGGAATGTCTCTGACACTGCCTTACCATGTTGATGTGATGTTGAAGAATGTTTACAAATATTCTGAAAGAAGGTCCCAAAAAAGAATATGTGCAATAAGATAATTCTGTGTAAAGGAATGAAAAATCGATTTGTTAGCAGAAGACCAAGAATAGACAGAAACATAGTAATTGAAAGAGTTTAACCTTGGCCACAGCATTGACAGAATTTTGCACTAATCCATTATTGAACAAGCCATCTACTGTTTGGTCTTCAGCCCACTTGATGAGAACTGATGGGGTTCTGAGTGCCACAACAATGTGAACCCACAAATGGACCCAAGAGTCCTCATCAGGGAGTAGGGCAGGCACAGTTGAGCCCAATTGAAGAATGTATCTTCCTAGCCCAGTGGTTCTCAACCTGTGGGTCTCCAGGTGTTTTGGATTACAACTCCCAGAAATGCCAGCCAATTTACCAGCTGTCAGGATTTCTGGGAGTTGAAGAGCAAAACATGTGGGGACCCACAGGTTGAGAACCACTGTCCTGGCCCCAACCCATGAAAATCACATGGGGACACCTCCTTTTGGCTCTAGTACACCTATCAGCCCCCCCCCCCCATTGGTCATTTTCAAATATGCCCAAATACTAAATGATGTGACAAACAGGAAAATATATTAAGAGCAATGGAAAATGGGCAAATTACTGTAAAGGAGAAATGTCAATATGACCTTGTATGCTACTAATTTAGTGAGTTTATAGTAGGATTAACTGGATTTAGCCTTTTATTTATCATTCTAAGGATATGATTTGATGTGAACAAACTGAATAATAATTTTTTTAAGGCTGAACAGTTATAAGTTGGAATTCAGATTACAGTATGTGATTTAAACTTATTACTTGCAATTGGATTTTCTCATGATCTTCAGTTTTATTCAATAATTTAGACAAAAATTAACGAAATAACTCTTAACTGGGATGAAGCTAGCAGGATGAGTTAAAAATGATTGGAAGGCTAGCCATTCCAGACTACATTCAGTATAGATGTACAAAACCAGAATAAAATAAGACCCTTCAAGGGAAACAGACCTGACCAGGTGCTAACAAATTAGTTGAAGTAAATGAAGGTAGTTTAAAAAAACAAACCTATGAACAATATATATATAAGTGAACCCTCCATGCCCATTTCAGACAAAACAATGCAGTCTTTAAACATCTGCTGTGTTGCAGGTCATGGAAGCAAACATCAATGAAGTCAAGATCAATGAGGCTCGTGAGCATTATCGTCCAGTAGCAGCAAGAGCATCCCTTCTCTACTTCCTCATGGATGAACTGAAAAAAATCAATCCAATGTATCAGTTCTCACTAAAGGTTACTATATATATATTTGTGCATTTGTGTTTTAATTGAGTATTCCTACTGGCCTATATGTTTGTCTGTCTCTTCCTCCAGGCATTTAATGTTGTATTCCACAAAGCAGTGCAGCAAGCAGAACCTTCCAACAGTGTGAAGGAAAGAGTCAACAATCTGATTGACTGTGTAACCTACTCTACATTTATTTATATTAGCCGTGGCCTATTTGAGAGAGACAAGCTTACTGTCACTGCCCAAGTGGCTTTTCAGGTATGCCTGGTTTCTTAATATGGTAGCTTCTCATATCTAATATCAATGTATGTCTGCACCCTTAAAACAGCTGCTCCTTCTGACAAATGAAAGCACTGTTGCCATGTGGTAGTGTTCAGGTAGAGAACTGGTCTGATATTATTGTTAGACATTGGATCTAGGACTGGAAGGCTGATTCAAGTAAACATATAATGGAGGAGAAGCATTCTTGGATTGCCAGCTGATTTTATATGCTGTTTAAAAGTCAAGAATAAATCTGAGTTTAGAAATCTTACTTTTGGGAACAGTAACTCTCAAAATTGACATGATAAACAGAGGATTCAGGGATCTGTAATCCAAAAGTAACTTTCTGAACTCTGTAATGTTATTATATTCAGATTTAATCTGTGGCTCTACTCTATGGACTGTTTCTCAGAAAACACTAATGAGGATTTGAAAATAATAATAATAGTGGAGCAGATATTATTGTATACTTATGGCCATGTGAGTATCCCTCACCGTCAAAAAGCTCAGGGGATTAAAGTTATGCAACTCGATGTTGAGATCCAATCTATTAGAGACATATTACAATCTGCTTTTATTGTAGCAAATAATGCCACAATCTCTGGCATGATTCTAAACCTTTCAACACTTCAGTACTATCCACAGAATAAATGTAGGCCTGTTCTCCACCCTTACACTATTCTTCTCTACCACAGACACAGCTGATCCCAATCCTTTTAGTACATACTTTATATCCTGCAACCAGAGAGCTCCCTAATGCTGCTGTATGCAGAAGATCATATAATAATCTTTTCCCTTCTATTATCTGTTACTGAATATAAGTCTAACATGTGCATGTTAAGGTTAGGAGGAGCAGATGGTACTTTTGTTACACAAAGAAGAAATGAGGGTGAAAGAGCAGCAAATTTGGGGGGGACACTTTTTTAAAAAAAAAATCCACTTCCCTTCCTAGCTTACCCAAAGCCATTGTGTTGCCCTCCTGTTCCACTAAGCGGTGACTCGGAATCGTCATAAAGAGATGTAAGAAGCTGGAGAAAAAGACGTTAACCTTCAGTCCTTTTGTGCATTTTAGCTGGTTTCTTTTCCACTGCAACAAAACAAAGACCATGGATAGCATTAGAAAATGTCAGTAAGGCATCATAATATAAGAGCACAAGAGATGGTGTGACCTCCCCCCATCCAGCCCCATATACTTTCTCAGATGGATTTAGTAGCAGCTATGGTAATGAGATAGGTGCCTTCTTTTTTTAAAAAAAAAAAATTAAGTACACTTATCTGTCTGCCTGGGATAGTAAAGCTATCTCACCAGAGTCCTTTTATACCAAGGAGATGAAAATGAGTGAGGATTTCAACCTCATTCAATGTTTATTCTTGACTAAATAGTTCTGCTTTATGTCCCATTCTTTTTCCTTCTTAAGGTAACATTCTAAAGAAAATGGTTTTTAAAAAATGTGTTTTCCTTGCAAAGATCTTTTCCAACCCCACCCATCAAACCCCAGTGGTGTATTGCTGGACCTTCCATTGTGGTTTTGAGGGAGGGCCTCATTCTCTGCAAATGGGTTTTATGATAACTGTGTATCATAGCAAGGGTAACATAAAACCTTCACTTTAAGCCCCCCTCGCCTTCATCCCATAAATACAATCTCATGATTTGTTATAGATAGATATGAACATATGATGGGAATGAAAATAATGCTACATGGTTATTAACAATGAGTTACTTTTTGTAACAAATATTAAATATAGTTACATTTCGACAGCCACATAATGAGTGTCAATGGCATGAGTATTTTGGTATAAATAAATAGCATTTTCTAGTTCATTCTTTTTAGAGGGAAGTGAAAGGGGGGGAAAAGAAATAGAGCAGGTTAACAAAACCTAATTGCACAATTTATTAGATACGTACTATGCTTTCCCAACTCTGGCATTTTCCAGATGGTTTGGACTAGGAATCCCACCATTCTTACAGAGTGTCCAACATTTCACAGATAAAAATTGGAGCAAGGGTGGCTAAATAACATCCAATTGATATCAAGATAGAAAATGTAATCAATGATTAAGAATATATAAAGTAGGAAAGCCTGCAGCAGTTCACTTTTGCTTGAGCTGACTGGGAAGAGCAGGTTTCCTCCTTCTGTCCCACTAACTTCTCTCTTTTCTCCCCATTGCTAAGCAAGTTAAAGTCAAGCTGCTTTGACACATTGAACTCTGGGCCCATCCAGACAGGCCCAAAAACTGGAACTTGCCTTGATTTTTCCCTAGGCATCCATATGACTCCTCGAGTAACAATGAATTAATTTGAAAAAAACCAAAGTTTTCTTGTTTTTTTCTTAATTAATTTGATACCCCATTAGATCCGGGCCATCCTGAAAGGCCCAGGTCTAATGGGGTATTGGGCCTATGGAGACTCACTTCCAGGCAGTCTACTACCCGGAGAACCCCCTGGAGCCCACAAGTGCAGGATGACATCCACCTCCTTCCCCCAAGCCCCCAATTTAGCCCCTAAAAGTAACTTAAAAGGTACCTGGTCACCATAACTTCCTTCATCGCTTCACCCTGATGTGAGGAAATGATGGGTGAGGAGGGATTTTCCTTCTGCCCCCCCCCCATCTAATCAGGTATCATTTCCTTGCACCTGGAGAACACAAGGAGGGAAGTTATGGCAGCCAGGTACCTTTTAAGTTACTATTTGGGGGAATTGGGGGCTTTGGGGTGTCTTTATGCCATCCCAATTTTAACCAGGATGGCATGTAAGCAACCTCCCCCCGCCCCGGGAAAGTCCGGATTTTTGTTCAGATGTGGAAATTGAAACCTGTGCTGAAGTGGATTATTTAAACCCATTTTGCCGTGGATTTTAGTCTTGTGTGGAAGTGGCCTCTATTGCAGCAGCTGAAGTAAACTGAAGATAAAGGTGGAAATTAGGACATATTACAAACAACAAAAGGGTCAATCGGGGACAACTGGAGGGTATAGTTCTTGTCAGCAATCAGATTATGGGATTTGTATATCCCCAGAAAGTGCCAGGTTGGCAAAGGCAACTCAAAGTCACAAAAGAACACCTTGAAGGAGTCTACAGCAAAATGTGTCACTATAAGCGAAAATATTGTTTTATCTAGCAATCCTGAATGGTCCCTGATTTCCCCTTAACAAGGAAAAACTAGAAGTGAATAAAAGTAAAAGTTACTAAGTCCCAAGTATTAATGCAGACTTGTAGTTCTCATTTTTAGAAGATAACATCTCATTTTAGATGTGATGTTGTTAATGGCTGTAGCCCTTACAAGGGTCATTCTGGGGATAACTAGCCAGTGCAGAAAGAGAAGGGTGGGATCACGCATGGGATGGAGGGGTATTTAATCTATTGTTAATTTATTCAACTAGAATCATGTCCATTCAGACATTGCTATTTGCAATGTGAAAGATACTCCCATTGGCACAGGGGGCTTGTAATTCTGCTGGAGAGCACAGACTGGATATACACTGCCATATAATCCAGTTTCTGAATCCAAATTATTTGCTTTGAACAGAATTATATGAGTCTACATTGCTATATAATCCAATTCAAAATGGATAATCAGGATTCAGAAACTGAGTTTTATGGCAATGTAGATGGGGCTACCATCCTGGTTTGATTCCCTCCATCAGACAGCTATTCATTTTGCCACATATGAATGCCATCACATCAAGATTAAATTATATTTGCTTTTTTTCTCAACATGGAAAAATCAGCATTGGTAAGATGCAAAATTTGACACAGGCCTGTGAGTAATACGTTTTAAGATATGTTGCAAAATGTCTTTTTCCAAATGTGTGGGTTTTCCTATGGTTTTGTTTTTAATTTGCTTGTATTTATCCCCCCCTCCCCCCCCCCCAATTCTTCTTTAGCTTCTGCTTATGAATAAGGAGATTGATGCTCGTGACCTAGATTTCCTTTTGCGGTTTAATATCGATCACACTTACAACAGCCCTTTGGAATTCCTTTCCAACTTTACCTGGAGTGCAATTAAGGTATAGTATGCAATATCCAGCAGATGTATGGAATGCCATTGCATTAAATAGACTTCTATTGTTGTCACAGCAGCATATTTTAAAACTTGCTGCCCCAACTTGAAAAATACATAATGCTTCTACTGCCCTTTGCCCTTTTAGACAATAAGCTTCATGGATGAGTTCCGTGGTTTGGACAAAGACATAGAAGGGTCACCAAAACGATGGAAAAAAGTGGTGGAGTCAGAAAGCCCAGAGAAAGAGAAGTTTCCACAAGAATGGAAGACTAAAAGCTCCCTCCAGAAACTGATTATGATGCGAGCCTTGAGACCAGATCGAATGACTTATGCTGTCAGGTTGGATGATGTGTACTAACTCTGGCAATGCATTGAGAGGCAGATTTGTAGACTCTGCTTGATTTTGTGTAAATACAAGACATGATGAAATGCTGTGTTGTTGAGGCTGAAATGGTAGTTCCCCTGAGGCATTATTAACTGCAATTCTTCCTTGTAGGAACTTTGTTGAAGAGAAACTTGGAATCAAATATACAGAGGGACGTAAAACTGACTTCGGCAAATCATTTCAAGAAACTGGGCCTGCTTCACCAATGATCTTCATTTTATCTCCTGGAGTTGACCCCCTAAAAGATGTTGAATGTTTAGGTATGTTTAGACAAAATATCATGCTTATTGATTTTCACTTGTAAAGTAAAACTTGACTCCTGTATTTCATCAATACTAATACCCTCGTTGCAATAGCACTCTATTTACTAGGCTTCATTATCATACAGAAATATGACTGCAAACCCAAGCCTAATCCAAAATTTGATGGTTTTGTTTTCACAAATTGCCAGCGGAAGGGCACTGGTCCAGGTTGGAACCCTGGGGTGAAATTAAATGGGATTTTCTTTACTTGTTTGTTTGTTTGCCTATTTTGCATGCTGTATGATAAGATCTCAGGACAGCAAGCGGATAAAAAGCAGTTTAGAACAATTTATAACTTAAAACAATTCAAAGAATTTAAACAAACTACAATATATTAAAATTAATAATTTAAAACAGGTTAAAAGATTAAAACAGTACATGAACATTTGGAAAAATGATTCTCTTTGTTCCTCACTGCAGCCTAACTTGAAACAGTTTCCCAACACAGAGACAGGGTGTATTACCATAAAACATCCCACTGAAAAAATGGGACCTTTTTATGCAATGCAAATTGTATGTTTGGTTCTCTTCAGATCAGAACTTCAAGGGAGGGCAAAATGTTTCTAAAGTCTCTTTCCTAGATTTAAATTGTTGAATCCAGTCTTTGACATACCTAGGGCAAACTTATAGAAATGCATGGGGCTAAAGTTCATTATGCTTAATGAGCCCTATTCATTTCAGTGGCTCTACTCTAAGTATGAAAATATTAGGATGCACCCCAGTGGCATCTCTGTGCAGTTAAGATCATGTGTCATATGGCCTCTGTAACATACTGGCCTACTGTGTAAGGCTGGTGTTTGGTTTCTTTAAAAGGCCAAAAGCCAGGCAGCCATTTTCTTAGCCTACAGCTGAGGGGGTGGAGCCAGCAGGCATCCATTTTGTTAGCACAGTGCCAAGAGGGGGTGGAGCCAGCAGGCATCCATTTTGTTAGCACAGTGCCAAGAGGGGGTGGAGCCAGCAGGCATCCATTTTTGTTAGCAGAGAGCCAAGAGGGGGTGGAGCCAGCAGGCAGCCTTTAGGGTATGTGGCACTGCCTGATTGGTCAATAGCCCTGGAGGGAGTTTGCTCAGTGAAGAAAGTGGGTGGAGCTAAGCTGAGGCAAGAAGAAAAAAGGAACCATTTTAAGTCAGTTGGCGTTTTGGGTTTGGAAGTATAGGAAGAAGGAAGGTTTTGGTTAGAAGTGGAAGTTCAGCTTGTATTTTATTCTTAAATAGTTACTTCGAGGAGGAACTATTGTTTTAAACAGACCCTGGTGATTGGGCTGTTTGTAATTAAAAAACCGTTTAGTGAAAGACTAAAAGTTTCTTGGGTTTTAAAGGTTTGACTGGAACCTGAAGTTTTAAGCTTTGAACTACTTCTGAAACCATAACGCTCTGTACTCATCTGCTGCAACCATTAGGCTTCTGTGCCTGCTCTAAATAAATAAATAAATAAACATCTTTCTTTGTTCGTACCGAACAAAAGTCCCCGTGTGCCTCACACACAAACCACACATATAAGGAGGTAGCCTGTTGAAGTCAACTATATTTGGTGGCAGCGAAAATTAAACATCATAGTAATCCTATAACATGGTAGGATTGCAATTAAGGTTCCCTACCCTGCCCTATCCGTTACAATTGATGGCAGTGGTGGGATATCCAAAACATTAGTGAGTACTGTACTCGCCACTGAAGGGGGACTCAGGGCGGCTTACAAACTATGACAGTAATTCAATGCCAGATTCAGACAATAACATTTACCCCCCCCCCTTCCCCCCTCCATTATCCAGGTTTCTTCTGCATTTTAGGGCCTATGTAGAAGGGTTCTTAGAGGATGTACTACTAGGTCTTCATTGTGAGGTATTGTAAAGCCCTTCTTACAAAGTAGAAACAGGAGGGGAGGGAGAGAAAGGAAGAAAATATCCGTGAACTAGTGGGTACATGTATTTTAAAATTAAAAATAGCAGCTGCTGACATACACATGTACCAATCATATTGTGGATTATGGAAATTAGCCCTTCCCCTCCCTCAATGGCTATAGTATCTAGATCAGTGGTTGTCAACCTGGGGTCCCCAGATGTTTTTGGCCTACAACTTCCAGAAATCCCAGCCAATTTACCAGCTGTTAGGATTTCTGTAAAAAAATCTAATATTTTTTTACATGTACTCTGTCACTGTATTGTGACTTTGCCCCTTTTTCCATTTGACAAATAATAAATAAATAAATAAAATGAAACAATTCTGCATGAACCAGAATGAATATGCTGATCTATCCAAAAGTAAGCAAGGGTCAAGATCTCTGACATCTACAATGAAGTGACTGAATATATGGGATAAATATAGTACAGCAATCATATGTACATTGTACCATGTCTTGAGTGAAACTCTTGTGGATTTTAGTAGATCTGGATTGCACCCAATCCAGTTTTAAAAAACTAATATTTTAGGCTCCTAAGCATCTATTTCTTAAAGTTTAATTTTCCTCCATACAACATAACCCTTCCTAGCATTTAACTAGAGCTGTATTGTTCTGTTTAGGAAGCAAGCTTGGCTTTACCATCGATTCAGGAAAGCTTCACAATGTATCTTTGGGTCAAGGGCAAGAAGCCATCGCAGAGATGGCAATGGAAAAAGCATCAAAAGAAGGCCACTGGGTTATACTTCAAGTAAGTCTAAACACTTCATTACACCCATTTCCTACTCCAGCATGGTTGTTTTTAAGACACATCAAAATAATGTATGCATAGCACAGGCACCTTAGAAAAATATGTCCCTGTTCCAAGAAAAAGGAGGCGTGGAGCATCTAGCACATAACTTTGCATTTAGGTTTGTGCTCTTATGAAACATTGATTACAGTATTTAAAAATACAATTTACTGCAGCAACCAATTTGTACGGCAGGGGGATTTATTGAAATACTTTCTCCAGCACATGGTCTCTGGTTTACTAATTTATTATCTTTTTTAAAAATATATATTTAATAAATATATCTGTAAAAGAAAGTATTGTTATTTTTTTCTAATCAGATGAATAGACACAAACAGGGAAGATTGCTATCATTATGCAGCATATTGTACTAAACAGATGTGTGTGATTTTCTCCCCCTCTTTCAAATATTTTGCTACATCAGACTATTTCCTTTGGCTCCTATCAGTAAAATGTTTCATATTTCAAATCAATAGCTCACTGGGAAGCCTATTTTTATCTCCTCTCTAGAATATTCATCTTGTTGCAAAGTGGCTCGACACATTAGAGAAATTACTGGAGAAGTATAGTGGAGGAAGCCACCTAGCCTATCGGGTTTTTATGAGTGTTGAACCTGCCCCCACTCCTAAAGAACATATAATTCCTCAGGGAATCTTGGAAAATGCTATTAAAATAACCAATGAACCACCAACTGGGATGCTGGCTAATCTCCATGCTGCTTTGGATAATTTTGATCAGGCAAGTAAAAATATCCCTGGGAAGGAACAGTCAGGAAAAGCATAATACTAAACAGATCTGGCAAGTGAGTGCCAAAGAGCATAGACTATAAAATGGGTTGATTTACAGTGCATTGTATATAATCCCAATATCCTCATGTAAAAACCAAATATGCTCAAGGAATAGTTCTTTTACTAAAGGCATGTGGGTGTCTGCTTTGACTAAGAGTTTCTATTGGAATCACTTCATTTCTAAAAAGCAATCCTTTGTGGAGGGAGAGGCGGGTTGTATTTGTGCAAAATGCTGTAAATTACTAGAATTGTGTGGCTGAGGCAAATCTGTAACATCAGCTTCAGATAATTGCTTTGAAGCTGCACTAGAGATCACGATTTGTAATTTCTGACCATGAAAGCAATGTGAAAGAATGAAACTTCTGCTACTCCACTTTTTAATGTCCCCTTTGTTGAAGGATATCGAGTAAGCGCTCCTCTGTCATTTGGCATTTGAAAGTTAGAATTACGTATGTCAATTAATGCCATGTACATTTGGACAGCAGTGACCAGCTAGCTGACATTTCATTCCAAATGTTAATCCAGAGTCATCTTCCTAAAATTTAGTTATGGTGTTATCAATTGCTGAATTTATTTATTTTTCTCAAATTACTTTTCAAAAGCACTCTTAAGGTTTGAAGATGTTTCTGTGGATATGTTTAATGCTTCCACATTAACCTCATAGCATTCTTTTAGGAAGTAATAACTAGTTGCTGCCTGCACAAAAGAAATGGGGAGAGGAAATGCCAGACAATACACGATGTATCTATATACTGAAAGAGCAAGTGTTTTGCTGCTGTCTTCTGCCAGTTTTTCGGGGTCTTACTTTCAGCTGTCAAAAACACATTGTCTGCATTCTGCCGTAATGTGTCTCTGTAAAGGGGGACATTGTTTTTCTCATCTAGAACATCCTTGATCAGTGTTCTCGGGAACAGGAATTTAAGGCCATTCTGTTTTCCCTGTGCTACTTCCATGCATGTGTGGCTGAGCGAAGGAAATTTGGGCCTCAGGGCTGGAACAGGAGATACCCTTTTAACATTGGAGATCTCACCATTTCAGTCAACGTCTTGTACAATTACCTGGAAGCAAATTCACAGGTAGGCTGGCTGTATGTCATCAAATCATGTACAGTATGTTCTTGTGAAGTCTTCAGTTAAACATGCAATACTGAATTATCTCATTTTCTGCATCTATAATGCTCAGGTTGTTCATGTGATTTGTCCCATACTGCTTTTGAGAACAATTACACTAAATGTCCTTTGACCTGTAGCTAGCTGGCCACTTGGAATGCCTCAGGTATCGCTGTAAGAAGGTCCTCCATTGTGAATGTGGCAGGGTTCAGATTGCATTGTAGTAGGTGGTCTGTGGTTTGCTCTTCTCCACACTTGCGTCGTGGACTCCACTTTGTATCCCTATTTTCTTAAGGTTGGCTCTGCATCTCGTGGTGCCAGAGCGCAGTCTGTTCAACACCTTCCAAGTCACCCAGTCTTCTGTGCGCCCAGGAGGGAGTCTCTCATTCAGCTATGGTGTAAGATTTTTGGATCATGTGATTTTAATATTTATACTAGGATGATTTTAATGCTTCGTCTGAATGTTTAAATTTTGTTTGTCTTATGTTTAATGGTTTTAAGTCATAGTTATATGTAGAAATTAGTTATCATCATCACTTTGTTTTATTGTATGTTGGCATTCAATCTTCACCATTAATATGTTGTAAACCGCCTTGAGTCCCTCCAGGGGTGAGAAAGGTGGTATATAAATCCAGCTTATGCAACTCCTGGAACAATTCCATCAGTGTTGCCTCCAAAATATCCTGCAAATCTCTTGGGAAGACAGGTGGACAAATGTCAGCATGCTGGAAGAAGCAAAGAGCACCAGCATTGAAGCGATGGTCCTCCAACATCAACTCCGCTGAACCGGCCACGTTGTCCAAATGCCTGATCACCATCTCCCAAAGCAGTTGCTCTACTCTGAACTCAAGAATGGAAAATGGAATGTTGGAAGACAGGAAAAGAGATTTAAAGATGGGCTCAAAGCCAACCTTAAAAACTGTGGCATAGACACTGAGATCTGGGAAGCCCTGGCACTTGAGCTCTCCAGCAGGAGGTCAGCTGTGACCAGCAGTGCTGTAGAATTTGAAGAGGCACGAATGGAGGGCGAAAGAGAGAAACGTGCCAAGAGGAAGGCGCATCAAGCCAACCCCGACCGGGACCACCTTCCACTTGGAAACTAATGCCCTCTCTGCGAGAGAAGATGCAGATCAAGAATAGGGCTCCACAGTCACCTACAGACCCACCGCCAGGACACCGCACTTGGAGGACAGTCTTACTCAGACAATGATGAATCATCTAAGTAAATATAATTAATAATAATAATAATAATAATAAGAAGAAGAAGAAGAAGAAGCATGTTCTGAAAGGAGGTTTTTTTTAGAGCCTTGCATATATCCTGAACCTAATATCTGCAAGTGACTGACTTGTCTTTATGGAGAAAGAAAGTGATTGTGCACAAACTTAACTGTGCCTTCCATCTTCATAGATTTGTGTGTATTTGTGTGCATGCCATGTACTTTAATATCTTACGTATTTATATATATTGGTTTGCAGATACCCTGGGAAGATCTCCGTTACTTATTTGGAGAGATTATGTATGGTGGCCATATAACAGACGATTGGGATAGGCGACTTTGTCGTACTTATTTGGAAGAGTATATGCAACCAAATCAGGTAATAGTATCAGCATTTGCAAAAGTACAACGGTTTTCCTGAGTTAGAGCTCCCCCTACTGGAAGCTGGTACATTTTCAAACCATATGCTCTTTCCTTTTTAACTTTGCTGGAATATAGATGCCTTTATTTATAATAGCAAACATGTGAGGATAATAACAGGCAGATTTGGGGTCCACCCTCCCTTAAATTAACTATGGAAGCAACATTTACTTTGCAATGTTTACTATTACTTCACGTTAACATGCAATGAAAAGGATGGGTTCCTCTACAATAGCCTTTATATTTTAGCCTAGCGCTCTGCAACAGGTTTACTGCCAAGCATCCAATTGAAAGAGTTCTTTATTTCTTTTATGAGCTGTGGGCTGATTAATCCATTGCTTTCCCTCCCCCAGATGGTAGATCTCCGTACATGAAACAGACATACCCATTTCCTTCCTACTCACATAATACCAAAAGGCAGTGAGCCGCTGATATCTTGGTTGTGATCACAGAGATGTATTATTTTATTATATTGAAGCAAGAGTACGAAGCGATACTATCATTATTAATCATCACCTCAGCCGATGATGTGAATTGGTTCTTAGGTTTCAGCTTAGCTGGAGACTGGTAATCAAAGGATCACAGTTGTGAACTTCAAGAAAGGGGGAGTCAATCTATGGTTATGCATTAAGGTGTAGGAGCCAGGGTTGTAGTCACATCAGGGCACTTGTTTTCACTCACCGCTGCTAATGGGCACACTAGGGGTGGAGTGATCCAATGTTGGAAGTCGGTGTGTTGCTGGACTTTGCTTCCAAATGCTGTGAATTAGCATGGCATAACAGAAACTCTGTGGGAACAAGGCCGACCCAACCCTCCACCTATTAAGATGTAGTGAGGCTATTACATTGTGCAAAAATGTCTTATACTTTTTAGCTGGTATAAAATGTACTGGCTCCTTCCTTAAACTTTGGAAAAGCTAGGGGAGTTACTCTCATCCGGTAATGTTGTATTATAAACCTATTATATTGTATCAATCTCCCTTTATATTCAGGATATAATAGTGTAGGCTCTAAGCCTGTTCACAGTCTGATGTCCCTAAGACTGGAATTCTGTGAATAGTTTCAATGGTACTAAATCCCTTTGAATTCAGACACAGAAAAGATACAGTTGAGGTTCATTTACTTATTTCTTGCTAGATGGAGGAGGGGGGGAGTGCTGCTATAATCATTTCAGAATTCTACACTTTCAATATAATTGTTCATAATGTATTTCCCAAGTTATACAATACCAAATTTGTACAGTTTGCTAGACCAGAAACACCAGTTGTTTTGATAATTAGCTCTTCCTATCACTAACAAAGTCCCATGCAAAAAAAAAAAGTTGAAACAATACTCATTGAGTCTCCAATTTCCAGGATCCTCCAAAAGGAATTGCCATTTTCCATACTGGTTAGGATATCCTTGGAGAGGCAATCCAAAGAAGTCAATTAACTACCAGTATTTTTTTTAAAAAAATCTCTAAAATCAGGACAGTAAATAAAAAACAACACTCAAAAAACAGGAGAAATCCAGATAGGAAACAATCAGGGCCAGCTAACACCTCCCAACAAAGGATTCCCCAGACAGGAAGCAGCCAAGCTTTGCGGCTGCAAGTCTATTCAATGGTATTCAAGCTGGCCATTTGCAACATTCACATTTGCCTCAAGCAGAGAAGAGTTATTTCTCCCACCCTGAACATCCCACAGATGCCTACCATAGATGCAGGCGAAATGGCAGGAGAGAATGCTTCTGGAACATAGCCATATAGACAACCCAGTGAATCTAGACTGCCATGTAGTACAGTTTGGAACTGCATCATATGGCCAGTGTAGACCCCTATAATGCTGTTTAAATGCATTATATGGGTCTACACCAGGCATGGGCAAAGCTTGGCCCTCCAGGTGTTTTGGACTGCAACTCCCACAATATCTAACAAGCTGTTAGGAATTGTGGGAGTTGAAGTCCAAAACACCTGGAGGGCTGAACTTTGCCCATGCCTGGTCTACACTGATTGTATGATACAGTTTCAAACTATTATATGGCAGTGTAGGTCTAACACACATACACACAATTTGTGTTGTACTACTTATCCATTTTCCCATAGCATCCACGGGCTTTGGTATCCTGGCACCAAATCCCAGTGGATATCAAAGCCCTGTTACATTTTCATTCATTCCTTCATTTCTTTGCCTGCCCTTCTTTCTCCAACAACTGAGTCTCCAATGTATTGGAAATCGTTCCCATTCACCCCAACATAAATTAAACCCCTGGTTAATGTGTCCCTACCTGCAAATGGAAAGGGTCCATGCTGGCGGTTGGGTTGTCACTGGAGAAACGTAACTACATCATTGCGAATTGGAGCTGGAATTGGAGCCACGTCAAGAGAAAATGCATCTGGAATATGGCCATAGAACCCAGAAAACTCACAGCAACCCTCATTTTTCTAAGCTCTGCCTAAAGAACGTAACTGCAATGAATTCTGATAATACGCAATTATGAATGACTAACTCTTGAAGGCCAGCAACTCAAGTCCCAAACTAGATATGATATTCATTAATTTTTGGCATTGTTTTCTAAAACAGCCTTTATCTGGATCACATTATGGCTTAGGGAGTATTTTATTTTATGTATGCTTTATGTTTTATCCCTTTTGTTTCAAACCAAATCAGCTTCCCTGACCCCATACCTACTGAGGGTATGGGGAGAAAAGAAGAAGAAAGAGGAAAGCAAAATATGTTGGAGATTTGTAAACATATATCTAACATCATGCCCAGTAGGTTGCTCCATGCCTCGCTCTATTCATCCCAGTGGGAAAAGAGAAGAGCAAGAAAAGAAGCAGGCTTACTATTATTATGTCTACACTGGTGCTGGTATTGTGTATACCAGCCCTTAAAGCTTATCCTTTGTATGCAGAGTGAAGGTTGCTTCAGTTTCTGGAATATAGAAGAAATGGTGGGTAAAAGGAGCTTGAGACATTAACAAAACTAACTAAGTTCTAAAAACAGTAGCTAAGGTGGCTTTCATAACAGTAGAGTGCCCCCCCCCCCCGCCCCAACAGTTCCCTTATCCGGGCTCTGGGTTGCTGTACAGTTGAGTTGGTATTAGAAATAAAAGTGAAAAGGAAATCATACCTACTAATATGAGATGATTTGTTATGTTGCATTTGCTTGAAACAGTAGCACCCATGTTACATTGTCAACAATTAGAACCACAACCAGCTCACTCCTTGTCTGCCTTGAAAATAATCTTCCATTTGACAGCAACCCAAATTATTTTTGTCCCATACAAAGATGATGCTGTCTCCATTTTATAAGATTTCAAGATATTTACATTTCAAACACTAAGCCATAAAAGGAAGATTATAAAGGAAACATTATTTACCTTTCAGTGCTCAAGCCTGTATTTAAAGTTCTTGTTTGTATTGTGATTATTTATTTATTATTATTAGTTATCTTGTTGTTCCTGTTACCATCCCCGATAGCACTACTACTGTTGTGTTATCTTGACAGGTTGATAGGTACTTTAAACACGCAGAAATTCAGCATAATTTCGCATCCCCCAGCAGCATTTCAAAAGCATAAAATTGCATTGCGGAATATCACGCCAATACAAATAAATACATTCCCCTGTGCCTGTTGTTTTAAAAACTTGCACCAGCGCTAAATATTTGCTTAGCAGATTTTGAGATGCCGCTGAAGCAGAACTCATGAACCTACAGCAGAGCATTAAACAATTGTCATACTGTTCCATAAAGGGCCTCGTTTGGCTCACGGCAAGCCATTTGAAATAGAAATGATTATTATGAAATAGCAGTTCTATTTTATTTTATGGGAGCATATTGATTGCCAAATAGACAATGCATGTATTTTGGAAAAAGTCTAAAAGAAGAAATCTTCTCTGTTTTATTTCAAAATCCTTATGGCATTACTCGCTTTCATTTCAATAAAAGATGGCATTTTCTGAGATGCTACTGTAAATGGCTTCATTTAGTAAAATTGCCACGTGAATAATAATGTTACACCAGAGAGCAGCACTTTGTAATTTTGAAGAAATAACTTTTTTTTTCTTTTCAAAAAATCCACCTCTTTACCTCTAAATGAAAATTACCTTTCTGTTATTTGCTAACAGGAGAATAACCTGTGTTTCGGTAAAATGCAGTGGAATGTCAGAATCGTTGAGATATAAAAGAGCTAATTAAAATAGCACACACATGAGATCAGTAATGTCCATTGATATAAAATGTTTTAAAAGTCTTGTCAATCTACAGAATGACTCCATAAACAGAACAGTTTGATTTATGCTTAGGACAAGCTCCTGGTTCTTGACAGCAGGGAATGATTAATTGATATTTGGGGGCTTTTATTAGTTTGATAGGAAGCTGGTCCTTGCTCCTGGCTTTGTCATTCCTTCAAACCTGGATTACCAAGGTTACCACAAATACGTTGATGAAATGCTTCCTGCTGAAAGCCCAGTCCATTATGACCTCCATCCCAATGCCGAGATTGAATTCCTGACAGCGACTTCAGATAACCTGTTTCGTACCCTGCTTGAGCTGCAGTCCCACGAATCCATCATTGGGGAAGGTGCATCACAGACGGTGGAAGAAAAAGTAAGTTTTAAAGCATAAATCAGTTGGTAGATTGTTCATCAGGTGAAGTGTTGTTTGAGTAACTGGGAAAAGGAGTTGTCTCAATCTTGCTACATACAGTGAATCTGCAATGGTGGATGTTAACCAAAGGGATGATGATGATGATGATGATGATGATGATGATGATGATGATGATTATTATTATTATTATTATTATTATTAGAAACACAACAAGATTAGTACACAGCAAACAATATCACTCTGCTGGTTGTTGTATTGAATCACACATCGGACACTTTCCAAGTGTCTAGGACTGTGTGATGTATCGGTGAATAATATGTGCAGATCCAAGTAGGGTGGCCTTTTGCAGCTGACAGATGGTAATTTTGTCAGTGCCTTTTATTTTTAAGTGCAGGCCAAGATCTTTAGATACCACACCCAGTGTGTCAATCACCACTAAGTCCACCTTTACTGGCTTGTGCCAGAATCTTTGCAGTTTGATCTTTAAATCCTAGAATCATAGAATCAAAGAGTTGGAAGAGACCTCATGGGCCATCCAATCCACCACACTCTGGGGCAGAGAGTTCCACTGCTGAATGGCTCTCATAGTCAGGAAGTTCTTCCTCATGTTCAGATGGAATCTCCTTTCTTGTAGTTTGAAGCCATTGTTCCATTGTGTCCTAGTCTCCAGGGCATCAGAAAACAAGCTTGCTCCCTCCTCCTTGTGATTTCCTCTCACATATTTATACATGGCTATCATATCTCCTCTCACCCTTCTCTTCTTCAGGCTAAACGCCCAGCTCTTTAAGCCGCTCTTCATAGGGCTTGTTCTCCAGACCCTTGATCATTTTAGTTGCCCTCCTTTGGACACATTCCAGCTTGTTAATATCTCTCTTGAATTGTGGTGCCCAGAATTGGACACAATATTCCAGGTGTGGTCTAACCAAAGTGGAATAGAGGGTAGCATGACTTCCCTGGATCTAGACACGATGCTCCTATTGATGCAGGCCAAAATCCCATTGGCTTTTTTTGCCACCACATCACATTGTTGGCTCATCACATTGTTGGCTCATGTTGCCTCATATTGTGTCAGCTTTTCCAGTTGTTTCTCTTCAATTCTGTGGTTGCCTTGGATTGCAGCATCAATGAACCATAATTTTGTTTTTTAACACGATTGTGAGGTCAGGGATATTGTGCTCCAAAACGCTATCAATCGGAAGTTGGAAGTCCCAGAGTAGTTTGGCATGTTCATTTTCTGTAACTATTATTATTATTATTATTACTATTACTAGTAGTAGTAGTAGTAGTAGTTCCTCCACCACCTATTGGATGGTCAGAACTCCATTCTGCCACTACAATGGAAAGAAGCAAGCAATGTAGCTGCTGGAGTCCAGAATTGCCCCTCCAGCCCAGCCTTAAATTTTGTGTCCCATGTAGATGGGACTTAAGGGGATCTAGCCCCTTCTACTCTGTCATATAAAATCCAGATTATCTGATTTGAATTGGATTATATGATAGTGTAGACTCATATAATCCAGTTCAAAAATTATAATGTAGATTATCTGCTTTAATAATCTGGATTGCATGGCAGTATAGAAGGGGCCTAAGTCTCTCTACTGATCCACGAAACCCAGTGAATAACCATGGGCAGTCACACTTTTCCAGTCTCACCTAACTCACAAGCTTGTTCTGAGGATAAAGTGAGGAAGAAGAAAGTCATGCACAGAATCATGAGAAACATTTTATATGAATAAAAATGATATAATGTATGGCAAATGAACAAAGCTTTCAGACACAACGCAAGGTTGTGAAACGAACAGCTTCTCAACCTCATCACAGACTTTTCCACTTCCTTCAAAGTCTGTAACAGTAAAGGAAATCACCCATCCAAAAACTGCCACCTGGCTTTGTGGTATATCAGTCGTTATTCTGACTTAGCCATATAATATATAGCCAGGAAACCCTGAGGACAGATGCTTCAACATATTCCCATTCACATGGTCCTGTTCCCTAAAATGGAGGGCAGCTGTTTTAAAGGATGCACTTGCTGGTCTGTAAAATTATAGAATTAATTAATTAAAAATACTTTCTAATGAAGGAGGAAAGGAACATTTTTCAACTGGGAAGGTGGTGTTCTGACTAGTAATCACATATAATAACTTGAAACAACCCATAAATTAGATTGGATTGTATTTCATTTATGCAAGTGTTAATAGTTTTCTCATCTATTTATAGAGTTTAACCATTTAGAATTACAGCCCTTTGTACACCAATGTGCTTTTGTTGAAATATTTTCAACAGAGGCAGTATAGGGATTTCTCTGTCTCCCTTCCCAACACAAAAGACTCTTTCCTCTACCTGTTCTTATGGAATTTGCAAAAGTCTAAGACTGTCTGAATTGCAGAATTATTGGAGTTTGCCATCACATTGAACTGCCATGGCTTAATTATATGGACTGCTGGGATTTGTAGTTTTATGAGATATTTACTTTTCTCTCTCAGAGAGCTCTGCCACAGAGCTGGATAATAATAATATAATATAATTTATTTATATTTCACCCTATATATTCCTCAAGGGGACTCAGGGCTGATTATAGTACACATATATTCCACTGAATATGTGGATTCGATATGTGGATTACACTGAAACTTCTGCTAGACCTTTCTTGTCTCTTGTAGGTAAAGCTAATATTAGATGACGTACTAGAGAAGCTGCCAGAAGGATACAACATGGCTGACATTACTTCAAAAACCGCAGAACGCTCTCCATATATCCTGGTTTGCTTTCAAGAATGTGAGAGAATGAATATACTAATACATGAGATAAGACGTTCTCTTAAAGAACTGGATCTAGGTCTCAAGGTATGCTCACATCTAGTTATTCTCTACTTAGAAGTCTGGGTGTATATCAAGTATATGAATTAGAACTGCTAAATAAAAATACTGCACTTAGGCCAAATTAGGTTGTACTTAAGAGTTCATCCCTTGATCTGAACTCAATGAGGATTGAGTTACAAATGTACTTAATTCATCTATATAAATAAAATCAACTTTTTGTCTGTTCTGTCTCATGCAATACCCATTCATTTTTGCATTATGTGAAAATATTGTGAACATTTTTACCACCATTGGAAGGATGTTTGGGATGGTCTGACCTAAAATGCAGGCTATGTGGTGGCAAAACTGAAAGGAGGAAACCTGATTTTTTTCATTAGATATTCATAATTTTTGGAAGGTATTTTGGGATATCTATCTGACTTTCTAGTCTCATACACACTCCACAAGTTGATATCACTTTGATTTCCACAGTTCCATCCTGTGGAATCATAGGATTTTGGTAAGGGGCACTCTGTCATAGTTCTCTACTGCTTTACCCAACTAGACATCTTATTATTGCAGGCATGTCAGGTTTTTGTTTGTTTGTTTTTTTGTTTGCTTTGAGAAACTGCAAGTCGTTTCTGGTGTAAGAGAATTGGTAGACATGCCTGTTAAAGTAGTATCAAAGTGTTCTATAGTACAAAAAAGGCTTTAAAAGTATAAGTTGAAATCTTGCATCGAGAAATGTATGTTGATCACATAGCTACATGTCCATCACTATGTCTCCCAATGCTACCATGAATTGATCTTATAAGCAATGCAGTCAACACTGTGTTCCCATTTCTTTAACTGGATACACTGCAGTTACATTTTCTTTGCAAATTTTCTGCCGATCATTTCCTCACCATATATCCAATAATAAGTGAATGTGCCTCCACTCATCCCACTGCTCTCCCATAATACAGAAATGACTGTTTTGATGGGGAGGACTGCATTCCTTACAAATTAGGTTGGGGGATTTTGTTTACTACATGGTCAGAGCAAACTCCAGTGACCAAAAAAGTGAGCTGTGATGCTGTAAATCCAACTTACACCCAATTGTGTTTCATTCTTACTGAATAATGTGGCAAATAATTTGAATGATTACAACTGTTTGTTACCACACCATATGTAAGTGTGGCACAACTTTTCATCAGATTTCAAAGGGATGTTTGGAATGGTGTGGGCTACAGGATGCAAGGGGCATACAAATATTTTTCAGTGATAAGTGGATATTGTGTTTGGCAGCTGATCACAAGAGCCCCCGGTGGCGCAATGGGTTAAACCCTTGTGTCAGCAGGACTGCTGACCAACAGGTCAGCAGTTCAAATCAGGGAGAGTGGATTGATCTCCCTCTGTCAGCTCTAGCTCCCATGTGAGGACATGAGAGAAGCCTCCCACAAGGATGGTAAAACATCAAAAACTTCTGGGCATCCCCTGGGCAATGTCCTTACAGACGGCCAATTCTCTCACACCAGAAGCGACTTGCAGTTTCTCAAGTCACTACTGGCACACACACAAAAATCAAGGACCACTGAGACTGATGCACCACATGATGCTTTGTCAAGGGGCACTGAGACTGATGAACCACATGCGAAACATTTAGCAACCAATGAGATTAGTTGTCATCCTCCAAAACTGTTGAAACTGAGTGATTATTAATGATGGTTAATGATTCTCCTGAGTGAGGCTAGGTACTACATCTGGTGAAAAACAAATGCCTCTCTCTGGGATTAGTGGTGTTCAATACATTTTTGTCTCTTTACCACAATGGGAACAGTTTAATTGTGGATATGATAGATTTTGACATTACATTGAAGGCTATCAACTGTTATTGCCTTGGTTTGTCTTCAAAAGAAAACAAAGATGGTTTTCATCCAAATGGGGATGTGTAGTGCAATTCCTAGAGGGCCTGGCTAATTTAGGTCCGCTGTTTTAAAAAGTCTTTGAGACATTAAAATTCCTGCAAAGTGGAACAAGTTCATATTTTTTTTAAGCTAGTAAATCGGTCTGTTGCAGCATTTTCCAACTTGGCACTTTCCAGAAGGTTGAACACCAAACTCTTTCATCCCTCATAATTGACCATGCAGACAGCAATTAATGGCTTTGTAGTCCAAAATATGTGGAGGGCATCAAGTTGTGAGAGATGAATGTACTCACTTCAATGTAGTGTTTTCACCTTCAGTAACATAATCATCACTCTACAGACCTAGTAGGTATTAAGGTCCAGCAGTAGGCCATTCTCTTAGCTTTATTCTGGAGCCATTATTTGTTGCTTGTTTAGTATTGGCTGAAATATTGACTAAAATAGCCAAGCAGGTTGCATAATAACAGCCAAGCTGCGGAGGAAAGAGAAAGATTTGGAGAATTACAAAGAGGAGTACCAATGTATTACCCTTTGCACTTCTGTACTTCAGTTTAAGGTTAGAAGATGATGCTTTCTAAATGTTTTAGTATGTCCATGTTAACATTTGGAAACATACACCAATTGAGAACTGTGGTGTATTAAACAAAGGGAGGGATTTGTTTCATCCTGTCAAAATCCCTAGGACCACCATCTCCAGATCACTTTTTCCCAGGCTTACCCTTGCCCCCCCCCCCCCCCCCCAAATGTAATCCCTTTCTAGATTGGGTTCCTGGGCTACAGGGCAACCCCTTAAATGTAGACCTATGGCTGTATTATTGTGTGGCTTTGGTATTGGTATCCATGGCCTGACTCCAACGCAGGCATGGTAAAAAAAAAATCCAGAGATAGTTTTAAAACAATAGCATTCAGTTTATTAAACATAATAGAATGAATTATTAGCCTCCAATATTCTATTCTTTTAGGCTTCCCAAAGCCATAGTCCAACTCTCTCTTTCAAATCCACTCTTCTTTCTCAGATTCAAAACTGTCTATCAACATCAAACCCCAACACTCACTCACTTTTGTCTGAATCTGCAGCCCCACTTCACAACCATCTTCAAGCCCAGTGCCTTCTTTATACCTCTGAATGGTCATTCCATGCTTCACAGATGTTTTGTGAGGTGAGATTAGCAAAGGTGACCTGAAGTAAAGACTCTTAACTCTTACACCATTGTCTCACCAATGGCTGATAATGCAGGTTCAGCCACCCCAGGATCCCATGCAGGAACATGAGAGAAGCCTCCCACAGGATGGTACCACATCTTAGCATCCCCTGGGCAATGTCCTTGCAGATGGTCAATTCTCTCACACTAGAAGCAACTTGCAGTTTCTCAAGTCACTTCTGACATGGGGAAAAAAAGCTGTCCCATGGCAGGGGATGGATTGGGTTGGAAGGCATTGCAACCTTAACAGAAGGTCTCTCAACTTTTTGCAGTAGATTGTTGTGGAAATAAGGAGCTCCCAAAGAAATGTGGATAGTTTACTTGCAACTGTCTGACCCCTTTCATGAGTAAGAGTTTTGAACAACAGAAAACACTATATCAATGGAATAAGTATACTTTAGTCCCTATCTACACTCATTACCTTTTCATATGAGGCACCTGCTTGAATTTCCACTGCCAACACTCTTCCCAAAGTGCAAGTGAAGAGTTCGTTTTCCATAAGAGCTTACAACAATATTACTTGTCTAGAAAAAAAAAGCTGAATTCCTTTACACTGTTGGCTAGCTAACATTTGGGATGGCCAACCACACAAAATAATAGAACTGTCTGTTATTTCAGTTAATTGCAATTATGGTTTAAAAGGGATCCTTTATCACTAGCTTTCTGAGGCCTAAATGCAATTGCATGTAGACACATTGAATCAACTGAGTTGATTCAACACGAATCAACACAAATGTTGACTTACTATGCAGCAACTGATTCAGTAAGTCTGCTCTACCTAGGATTACCAATTGGGTTCAAGCCTGAACATTTTACTATATAATATATGCATTATTATTGTCAAGGATCACCGCCTTGTCGGGGCGCTGGAGCTTGAGCACCTCAATGATGTCATGAGCAAACCGTGAAGGGACACCCAAGACGGGACGGTTGTGGCAGAGAGGTCAGACCAAGCGTGATCCCTGGGGAAGGCAATGGCAAACCACTCCAGTATCCTTGCCAAGAAAACTAAATGGACCAGTACAACCAGAGATATGTCGGTATGCCATTGGAGATGGGACTCCCAGGTCGGAAGATGGCCAAAATGCTACTGGGGAGGAGCAGAGGATAAGTTCAACTAGCCCCAGATGTGATGACGCAGCTAGCTCAAAGCCGAAAGGAAGGCTAGCGGCCGACGGTACTGGAGGTGAACGACGAATACGATGCTCTAAAGATCAACACACCATAGGAACCTGGAATGTAAGATCTATGAGCCAGGGCAAATTGGATGTTGTTATTGGTGAGATGTCAAGACTAAAGATAGACATTCTGGGGGTCAGCGAACTGAAATGGACTGGAATGGGCCACTTCACATCAGATGACCACCAGATCTACTACTGCGGACAAGAGGAACATCGAAGAAATGGAGTAGCCTTCATAATTAATAAGAAATTCGCTAAAGCGGTGCTTGGATACAACCCAAAAAATGACAGAATGATCTCAATTCGAGTGCAAGGAAAGCCTTTCAACATTACAGTGATCCAAATATACGCCCCAACCACAGCTGCCGAAGAAGCAGAAGTAGATCAGTTCTATGAGGATCTGCAGGACCTACTGGATAATACACCAAAAAGAGACATTATTTTCATTACAGGAGACTGGAATGCCAAGGTGGGAAGTCAAATGACAACTGAGATCACAGGCAAGCATGGTCTGGGAGAACAAAATGAAGCGGGACGCAGGCTGATAGAATTTTGCCAGGAAAACTCGCTGTGTATAACGAATACTCTCTTCCAACAACCTAAAAGACGGCTTTATACATGGACCTCACCAGACGGTCAACACCGAAATCAGATTGACTACATCCTTTGCAGCCAAAGGTGGCGGACATCCATCCAGTCGGTGAAAACAAGACCTGGGGCTGACTGTAGCTCAGATCACGAACTTCTTATTGCCAATTTAGAATAAAACTAAAGAGATCAGGGAAAATACACAGACCAGTTAGATATGATCTCACTAACATTCCTAGCGAATATACAGTGGAAGTGAAGAACAGATTTGAAGGACTAGATTTAGTAAACAGAGTCCCAGAAGAACTATGGACAGAAGTCCGAGAAATTGTTCAGGAGGCGGCAACAAAGTACGTCCCAAAGAAAAAGAAAACCAAGAAGGCAAAATGGTTGTCTGCTGAGACACTGGAAGTAGCCCAAGAAAGGAGGAAAGCAAAAGGAAACAGTGATAAGGGGAGATATGCCCAGTTAAATGCACAATTCCAGAGGTTAGCCAGAAGAGATAAGGAACTATTTTTAAATAAGCAATGCATGGAAGTGGAAGAAGACAACAGAATAGGAAGGACAAGAGACCTCTTCCAGAAAATTAGAAACATTGGAGGTAAATTTCAGGCAAAAATTGGTATGATAAGAACCAAAGACGGTAGGGACCTAACAGAAGCTGAAGAGATCAAGAGAAGGTGGCGAGACTATACAGAAGATCTGTATAGAAAGGATAATAATATCGAGGATAGTTTTGACGGTGTGGTGAATGAATTAGAACCAGACATCCTGAGGAGTGAGGTTGAATGGGCCTTAAGAAGCATTGCTAACAACAAGGCAGCAGGAGATGACGGGATCCCAGCTGAACTGTTTAAAAATCTTAAAAGATGATGCTGTCAAGGTGATGCATGCCATTTGCCAGCAAATATGGAAAACACAAGAATGGCCATCAGACTGGAAAAAATCAACTTATATCCCCATACCAAAAAAGGGAAATGCGAAAGACCGCTCAAACTTCCGTACAGTGGCCCTTATTTCTCATGCCAGTAAGGTAATGCTCAAGATCCTGCAAGGAAGACTCCAGCAATACATGGAGCGAGAGTTGCCAGATGTTCAAGCTGGGTTTAGAAAAGGCAGAGGAACGAGAGACCAAATTGCCAATATCCTGGATAATGGAGAAAGGCAGGGAGTTTCAGAAAAACATCTATTTCTGTTTCATTGACTATTCTAAAGCCTTTGACTGTGGATCATAATAAATTGTGGCAAGTTCTTGGTGGGATGGGCATACCAAGCACCTTGTCTCTCTCCTGAGGAATCTGTAAAGGGACCAAGTGGCAGCAGTGGGAATTGACCATGGAACAACAGACTGGGTCAAGGCTGGGAAAGACATTATATTATTAGCATCTCTCACCCAACCTTTTTAACTTGTATGCAGAACACATCATGCGATGTGCGGGGCTGGATGAATGCAAAGCTGCGGTGAAAATTGCTGGAAGAAACATTAACAACCTCAGATATGCAGATGACACCACTCTGATGGCCGAAAGCGAGGAGGAGCTGAGGAGCCTTCTAATCAAGGTGAAAGAAGAAAGCGCAAAAGCTGGGTTGCAGCTAAACGTCAAAAAAACCAAGATTATGGCAACAAGAATGATTGACAACTGGAAAATAGAGGGAGGAACCGTGGAGGCCGTGACAGACTTTGTATTTCTAGGTGCAAAGATTACTGCAGATGCAGACTGTAGCCAGGAAATCAGAAGACGCTTACTTCTTGGGAGGAGAGCAATGTCCAATCTCGATAAAATAGTAAAGAGTAGAGACAGCAGAATGGCAACAAAGATCCGCCTAGTCAAAGCCATGGTATTCCCTGTAGTAACCTACGGATGTGAGAGCTGGACCTTAGGGAAGGCTGAGCGAAGGAAGATCGATGCTTTTGAGCTGTGGTGTTGGAGGAAAGTTCTGAGAGTGCCTTGGACTCCGAGAAGATCCAACCAGTCCATCCTCCAGGAAATAAAGCCCGACTGCTCACGGGAGGGAAAGATACTAGAGACAAAGTTGAAGTACTTTGGCCACATCATGAGGAGACAGGAAAGCCTAGAGAAGACAATTATGCTGGGGAAAGTGGAAGGCAAAAGGAAGAGGGGCCGACCAAGGGCAAGATGGATGGATGGCATCCTTGAAGTGACTGGCTTGGACCTTGAAGGAGCTGGGGTGGTAACGGCCGACAGGGAGCTCTGGCGTGGGCTGGTCCATGAGGTCACGAAGAGTCGGAGACGACTGAACGAATGAACAACAACAACTTCTCAACAGGTATTGTGATTGTTATTTCGGAGAAGCTGAGGAGACAGAAATTGGCATTCTTGTTTGTATGATCATTTCATCCGTTTTTAATAAATGACTCACCCCAGTTTTAAGAGCCAAGATAGTCTTTACATTTGACAATTCAGCTACCTTATGTGTTTTTACTGTAGGGGGAAAAAGCCCTCTATCATTTATCATGTCATCTTATCACCGTCTCTTTGTGAGACGCAAATAGCACACTAATGTTTTTCTTTTGTTAGGGTGAGTTGGCAATCTCTGCTGAGATGGAGCAACTACAGACAGCTCTCTTTTTTGATAATCTTCCTGACACTTGGATGAAACTGGCTTATCCATCAACATACAGCTTCATTCAGTGGTAAGTCACATGCCAAAAGATCACTATAGATTCTTTGTTCATCAGCAAAAAAGGAAAAGAAATAAAAAAAACAAGGAATCTGAACTCTGCAGATTTTTTTTCCCCCAGGGGAACATTATTCCATCTAATGATGCACAATAGCTTCACACAGTCTGATATTAATTATCTCCTTTGGAAAGATTTCAGTACTAACTGATCATGAAAAAAAATTCTGTTTTGTTTTTTAAAAAACAAGAGGGAGTTGTATCTAGAGCCCAGAATTTTGCTTACAGAATACTCTGGGTGCATCTAGAGTGTAGAAATAACTTCATTTGATGCCACTTAAACTATTTTGTTACACATGCTGCCAGGATTACCGCAAATCACTGTGATCCCAGCATGTGGCATGGGGACCCATCACCCCACGTTTCCCACCATTCTGGCTTCCTCCTTCCCTCATCACATGGGAGGAGGTATCTGCTGGCCAGCTTGCCCCATTCAGGGCAATGCAACACTGGAAGCTTCCTGTGTTGCCACAGGCAGCTTTTTTTCGGCTGTGACTCCGGTTCCACCAGTTTTGCCCCAAAGCTGCTCTGGAAATACTTCTCCCATGTGCAGTGGGAGCTGGCTGGCTCCGTGGCAAAGGTTCAGCACAAAAATCTAAAATCTGCTAGGCCATCAAATGCTAATCAAGGTGGCCAATTGAAACATTCACACCTAGCTCCAACAGACAAGAGTTCTTTCTCCCACCCTGGACTTTCCACAGATATATAAACCCAATTTTCCTAGTTTTCAACAGACCTCACAACCTCTGAGGATGCCTGCCATAGATGCAGGTGAAATGTCAGGAGAGAATGCTTCTAGAACATGACCATATAGCCCGAAAAACTTTAAACAACCCAGTGATTCCAGCCATGAAAGCCTTTGACAATACATTGTTCCTTTTTCCTCAAAGAATGAGACACACCCTGAATCCATTCTATTGTTAGTGGCCATATAAGGATTGGCAGGGATTTAAAAATGCATCTAAATTCAAGAGCTCATAATACAGCTCACTGCCTTGAAGTTTATTTTACTACAGAAGCACAGCATATGTGATTTATCTCCATAAATTTGGCGATCACAGGGTTGTTTAAAACACAATGGGTAGAAGTACTCAAAAGTTATCATTTAAATATCAAGCCTAGTGCAGTAGAATTGTTCACACTTATCAATAGATAGGAACAACCCACCAGGAACACTAAATAATAGTTTCCTTGCAGATCAAATGTTGAAATCATTTTTGGAAAGGAAGATGTGAACAAATCCATCTGTAAGTTCAGTTTTGCTGGTTTTCCTTAGAAAAATGATGTTTCCTTAGAGCTAGAATTCCAATAAGTAGTACAGGAACAATCCTAGTAAAAAAAAAATTGGCAATTTGCCTCTATAGCTCATTATAACCTTGGACAATGTTACAGATCGCTCAGTGGCCTCTGTTTTAACTAACCAGCTGTCCTCCACTCAGAAATGGCATTCTTTCCCCTTGGGAAAATGTATGATACTTCACTTAGAAGAGTCCTCTGTTGGGAGTCATCCATTGTTGGAAAGATGATGACTTACTTGAGTAGTGTTAGGGTCCATGAGGGAAACTGATGTTTGATATTTGAAACGACAGCATGGTTTAATTCTAAAACTGTAGCAATTCAGCAGAGCTCTCAGAGACTGAATTTTTAGAGCCTCGTTGTAGAAGGCAAGGGAATCAGCAAGAAGAATCTAGTTATCTGCATTACAGAAGAAAAAGATCCAGTTCATACAAAAGGCTGACCCATACTTGCTTGGCAAGGCTGGTGGTGAACTAAGAGAGTAGTTGTTATAATGGCTATTGTTCCTTCTCCATGTGGATTTGCCTAGTGGTGATTTTCTGGTAAGAGCCAGGAGACCTTTATTTGGAATTTCCTGCAATCCCTTGATGCCACCAACATAGTGGTGCCATAGAGCAGCATTCCTGGGGAATGGTAGGTTGATAGAGATAGACAGAATGGAATGAATGGAGATTAGATAGTTACTTACTTAGGCAATCCCTCATTGTCTGAGTAAGATTGTCCTCCAAGTTCGGTGTACTGGTGGTGGGTACGTAGGCAGAGGCGGCCCTAGGTAATTTTCAATGGTAAGCAAACAGTATCCCACCCCCCCAACAAATCACTGATATATATTTTCTGTTCGTCATGGGAGTTCTGTGTGCCATATTTGGTTCAATTCCATCATTGGTGGAGTTCAGAATGCTCTTTGATTGTAGGTGAACTGTACATCCCAGTAACTACAACTCGCATATGTCAAGGTCTATTTTCCCCCAGGAGCGCCTCAAGAGCGCCCCTGGGCAAAGTCAACTATACTGCAAATGCTTACTTTGCATAATGGGTTGAGCCACCCCTGTACATAGGTGACTGTGGAGCCCTATTCTTGACCCGCATCTTCTCCCACAGTGAGGGCATCGGTTTCCAGGTGGAAGGCGGTCCTGGTCTGGGTTGGCTTGACGCGCCTTCCTCTTGGCACGTTTCTCTCTTTCACCCTCTATTCGTGCACTTCAAATTCTACAGCACTGCTGGCCACAGCTAACCTCCAGCTAGAGCTCTCAAGGGCCAGGGCTTCCCAATTCTCTGTGTCTATGCCACAGTTTTTAATGTTGGCTTTGAGCCTATCTTTAAATCTCTTTTCCTGTCCTCCAACATTCCGTTTTCCATTCTTGAGTTCAGAGTAGAGCAACTGCTTTGGGAGACGGTGAATGGACAAATGTCAGTGTGCTGGAAGAAGCAAAGACTAGCATCATTGAAGTGATGGTCCTCTGCCATCAACTCCGCTGGATTAGATAGATTAGATCAGTGGTTATCAAGCAAGGAGTGAATATGTTTTAGAGAATGAAAAAGGAAAATGATACAACCTTGTTGGTCAAGAATTTTGGATATGAAATTTGTTTAATGGTTGACTCATAAATTTATGGCAAAAAAAATGATACTTATTCAGGGCTTGGTGGTGGAGTTATGTGTTTGTAAAATGTTCATTGTTTCGTGTTCTGGTTATGTATATATTTTTTTAAAGAATAATGATAGATCATCTACACCCAGTATGGGACCCACTTTTGAAAACACAATCCTTGTCTATTCCAGCCTGCCTGAAGATACTTTGACAGAAAATATTATTTATTTTGCAATTATAAGTTTTTTTCATGCTTTATAGAAAATGCCACTATGTCTGCTGTCCAGTCTGTCTAGAAGGATCTCTTTGCTTTCACTTAAGTATTTTATATCATTTTTAGTCAAAGGCTAAAACGTTGTAAAACTCTTCATCTTGTGCACACACAAAAGGAGCGCCCATTTAAAAATGGTCGAGGAAAACAATGTAATTGAAAGCTAAGTGGCAACAGTGAGCCCATATGACATAATAGTCTAGGAGAGTAGGGTTGAAATCCATGCTTGGCCATGGAAACCCACTGGGTGACCTTGAGCAAGTGACATTCTTTCAGTCTCAGAGAAAAGGAAAACTGAACCCCCTATGAACTAATCTTATCCAAACAACCCCTTAGTGTTCTCATAAAGTAGAAATAACTCAAAGACACACAACATATTCTCAGGTCTTTATAGCCTGTTTAAGATTCACCTGTGAAGGGGCTTATTATGATAGGTTTGTGTCACAGGAGACTGCTCAATGGAGATGGAGCCTCTTGAATTTCAATGGCAGGTATGTGAGCAGGGCTGTCATAAGTCATTTCAGGCCTCATCCAAACAGACAAACTGGTCCCAAATGCTTTAGGGTAGGAATGGGCAGTATGTTTATCCCTAGACACTTTTTTCTGTGTCATTAAAAAAATAGGAAAGATGGAGAAAGAATTCCTCTTTAAACAAGGTGCCAAGGTGCTCCTGTTTCACTGTTTCCACCAGATTGGTTTTATAAAAGGGGAAGTAGACTTTTTAAAGACCACTGTCTTTTAAGTAGCTTAGTAGAAGGCACCAGGAAATGTTATCCAAAATTTGAGATATTTCTGTCTACCTTTTCCACACTCATGTGTCTTGTTCTCCTTGTGCATTGACAAGCCATTCTGTTTCCTGTTCTCCTTCTATATGGTCTTAATTTCCAGAGACATGCAGCTGCAGACACCCTCCACTGCATTATCTTTCCTTCCAATTATCAGAGGAGTGTTTGGTTTCCACGTTCTGTCACTGTTAATACTTTATTTCAATCGTCCTTGCCACTGAGGAATAACAACTGTAATAATATGACATTTTATCCACCTCTCCATGTGGATCAAGGCAGAGAATAACAACAGATTAAAATAAAGAAACAAAATAGACATATAACACCAGTTAAAAAAAAAACCCAACCTGTTAAAATCAATCAAAGCATCAAGATCATTGGGTTTTATTTTTGGTTTGTTTGTTTTTGGAAGGGAGCTTTCCCTTTTTTAAAAAAATAGCACTACAAACTAGGGTATTTGACTAAATTTGCTAATACTTGTTTTTATGTATGCATAGAACAGTTTTGGCTGCCTTCATATGAGCACAGCTCATCATCCATTGCTGTTAGAAAAAATAACAATACTGGCATCCCCAAGTTACAAACAAGATAGATTCTGTTTGTTATAAGTTGAATTTGTATGTAAGTCAGAACAGGTACATTTTAAAGTTTAACTCCAGCCATATATAAGCTTTGGATAGCATTGGGGTTAATGCCCCTGTTCAGAAGATTTCACCTCACTTTCTGTCCCTGTGATAATGGGATTTTGTAAAATTTTGGCTTGTTGTGGAAACAAGGACTGGCAAAAAAGCTTCAGTGGAGACACCTTTCCCCTATGATAATTCTTTCAGGAATGAATTTTCCTTCCAAGGGATATATTTGTCTCACCCCCGTTCTTAACTATGAGTCATTTGTAAGTCAGATGTTTTTAACTCAGGGATGGCCTGTATCCTAAAGCCAAAGCTCTGGTTGTTACTCCATGTTTTTCCTTTTGGGATCCACAGTGCATTTGTGAAAGTTATCATAGTGCCCCTTTCCAATAAGCTTTTAAAGGGATGTTACAACCTGAATAAAAGGAAAACAGAGACATTCTCCTGACAATGCTGGGCAAACCATTTGTGAATGCTTGCAATGTAGGCAGATATTCTCATAGCATATACTTGATGAAGCGTATTGGCCTGAAAAAACTCGGGTCACAGGCAGAATACTGATAATGTGAGTTGCATTATCTCTTCTAAAAATGACAAATATTGAAGTTAAATAGGAAAGATATGCGAGTTGGTGAAAAGTGGAACAAAATGTGTGTTTTAACTAAATCAGTTTTCAGAAATCTCATGCACAGGTTAATCTTTTATAAATATATTCAAGAAATGTATTATAACTTGCCCTCCTACGCAGAATGTGAATGCATTGGATGTGTTTCAGGCAGAGGATAAATGAAGGAACTCTTCAGTTTTTGATGTGGCTCTTGGTCTATAATTCAGAAATGCTGCCAATGGGAACTGAATTCTTCACTCTCCTCCAAGAAAAAGATACTGGCAATACAATCCTATTATGTCTTACTTGGAAGTTAGTCACATTTTGTTAAACGGCACTTACTCCCATGTAATTGAATATAGGATTGCAGCTTCACTAAGCATGTGAAGTGTCAGTTTGAATGAGAACTGGAGTCCCTGCAAAAAGGATGCTGCTATGTTTGCAATGCTTGTTGTTATGTGCCTTCATGTGGACTCTGATTTATGGCAAACCTATCATCAGGTTTTCTTGGCAAGTTTTGTTCAGGAGAAGTTTGTCATTCCTCTGAAGGCGCGAGAGTGCCCAAGATGAAATGGGAAGAAGAAGAAAAATCTGCCAGACAATATTTTAAACATGTCCAAGTAACCTTGTTTCTTTCTATTGTCTTAACCACTACTGAAATAAGTCTATGTAATCCTTTACCTTTACCTACAAAGGAATATGGTTTGGTATATATCCATATCTGGAAATGTTTACTTCTGAAGTAGACAATTCTTCACTTGCAAATAAAAACACAAGACACTGATATTCCTAGTTCTGCCCAGCACAGAATACTAAATCCGACATGAATGCAACATTTATTTGTGAGAAAAATATTTTTGGATACAAGTAGCATATATTTTAATCCTCATTATGTTAGAGACAGTAAGGGCTGGATTTGGATTTACATTTAGTTTATGAAATTCAGATTCATCAGGTTGACAGGTGTTACATACAGAGGATTTTCAATGGTAGGCCCTTCCTTAAGGTAAAGGTAAAGGTTTCCCCTTGACATTAAGTGTAGTCATGTCCGACTCTGGGGGATGGTGCTTATCTCCATTTTTAAGCCAAAGAACCTGCATTGTCTGTAGCTACCTCCAAGGTCATGTGGCCAGCATGACTACATGGAGCGCCTTTACCTTCCTGCTCTAGCAATACCTATTGATCTACTCACATTTGCATGTTTTTGAACTGCTAGGTTGGCAGAAGCTGAGCCTAACAGAGGGAACTCACCCTGCTCCCTGGATTTGAACTGCTGACCATTTGGTCAGCAAGTTCAGCAGCTGAGCTTGCTGCACCACCAAGAGGGCCAGTCCCTTCCTTATTGAACGCTATTTTGCTTGGCATTCCTTTGGTTCTTCCTTTAATTGTTTTTAAGCACACAATAGAGATGAAGCTGTTTCAGTCTGCATTTAACTGAATGAGATATTTTAACTGCTTCTTTAACTTTTATTGTGTCATATAATATATTATTGTGTGAGCGATGTTGAGGCCAAGAGGAAGGAAAGCATATTCTATATTGAAATGTTATTTAAAGTGATACAAAAGACTGGAGGATAGATATTCCTAAAAGAAGGAGCTGATCTTCGGTCCCTTTTGGATGAGAAGATCTTTCACAAGTGGTTTGGTCTGAATGAATTACAGCAGGACATATCTTTTCAGAACTAAAGGCTACTTTACCGGACACTCGTCCATGGTAGCCATAATCATAATGGTTTTGAAATTTTGCTGCTGGGGTTGTGTTATTCTCTTTGCGCTTAGCAACTGTATTCCTTGTTAACCAAGACGCCACAAGACTAAGAAACAAGATTAGGTAGTTGTACTAAATGGGCCTTCACAATCTGCTGGAGCCCTGCAAATACCAAAATCCGTTGATGCTCAAGTTCTACTGTATACAATAGTGTCATAAAATATTGTTCTGTGTGTGTGGGTATCAAAACCAAGGATTGTTTTTAAGAATCTTTTCAGGGGGGCATTTTTAAGGCTTGAGTGGTTGAATCTGTGAATACAGAATCCATGGATGAGGACCAACTGTATTTAAGATGGGCAAGGACTGCTTAATTCTCAAGAGCTTTACCTGCTCAGGATAGATATGAGCAACACAGAGGAAGGTCCTACTTTTACTCCTGCTGCTGATGTGATCAGATGTCTGTTGAGGATCTCACCTGGCATTCACAAACTCTAGTCGATAAATGTTCTAGGACAGCCATCCCCAAACGGCGACTCTCCAGCTGTTTGGGCCTCCAACTCTCAGAAGCCCTAGCCAGCTTGTTAAATGGTCAAGAATTCTAGGAGTTGAAGGGCCAAACAGCTGGAGGGCCACAATTTAAGGATGTCCATTCTAGGAAGTGCAAAAGGATGGATTCAAGGAAGAGCAGTTTCCTTCAGTGGGGCTGCACAGAAACCAAACAAGAACAAAGGAGCCATATTTAAACGCAGCACAATGCAGTTAATCGGTTATCTACAGGGCCCCTGATGTACTTCTTTGTTTCAGTGAGGCTTTATTCTGTATGGCTAGCCAGGCCACATGCAAGTGAGCTGTACAGAACAGAGAATAAAACTACCAAATTTCTAACACTGACCAATAAAAAAAAGAAGTTCAAATAACAAGAGTGTCGCAATTGTATTTATGAGAGTGCACACCAGCCATTTGTGTAGTCTTTTCCAAGCACCTAATTCCAGTGCTCCTTTCTATCCTTTCTGGTGTTGCCAAGGTACAACGACCTGCTCCTACGCTGCCGGGAGCTCGATTTCTGGGCTCAAGATCTCGCCCTCCCCAGCGTTGTCTGGATATCAGGCTTTTTCAACCCGCAATCCTTCCTCACAGGTAGGAAGCACATCACACAACTCATTAGTAATTTACTGCTACAGTAATTTTTATAATTACTGCCAAGAGACTTCATTAAATTTGATCTAATGAATAAATATTGTATTTTCAACGTGATTACCAGCGCAGCTTAAGCTGTGTGCCATAAACAATTATTTTCCTCAATACACAGTATGTCAGTGACTATTGATTTTTTTATTATTATTATTCTGCAAAGAGTTTACTGTATTTGTATCATAGGCCCACTCAATAATGTTTGAACGTGAAGAGTCAATTGGCAAGGGATATGTAGCTGACAGAAAAATGAAGGGGATCACAATTGCAAAAAAGCTAAAATACTCACTTTTCATAAATATAATAGCTTTGTTCAATGAAAACCATGGGACAGAGTGAGAGTATTTAGTGTGTCTCGCTGGCGATTTATACGCTTGGATTCGAGAAGGTACTTTAGACAAATCGAAAGCTTGAGGTAGATGGCACGCTACGTTAGAGCAGAGACTTTGAAACTCTGAAGAAATAGTGCCTACAGTTATGTCTTTGTGGTTATGTCTCCCAGTTGTATCCTGCAGCCCACATTTTAAGAGATGCAGCGCAGCCCGCAAAACAATTCTGAGCCCTTGGTATTCACTGTGGATTGGTTCCAGGACCACCATGCATACCAACATCTGTGGGTGGTCTGTTCAGTGATAATGTAGTAACATGGTGTTCCCTTTAGAAAATGGCAAGATCAGAATTCGTCTTTTGGGGTGTGTAGGTGTTTTCAAGCTGTGGATAGTTGAATCCTTGGATACAGAAACTGTAGATAGGGAGTACCAACAGTATTTCTTTGTCATAGGAGAACCGAGGGATCAGCAGAAATGTATGCTATTGTTTTTCTCTGGCTGGACATTCTGCAACAAGCATCCAAAAGAGGTTCCTGCAAATGCCATTCTGTTGCTGTTGAATTCAGGGGTTATTGGATGCTCAAAGGTAACAGACTAGACATCAAGTTACGACACTTGCCATGGTGACAGATCTTGCCAGGCTGATGATACTAATGTCTGGTATTCAGAAGTGGACTACCTCTTCCCTTCAATGATCAGCATCACGAGGACATGGATCACACCTTCTCCACACTACACTATTTGGGTACATGAATGACTTCTGGGTGCACTCCATTTAGAAATTTGTCATATACCACACTAGTACTTTGGCCCATTTAGTGTAGTTCTGTCTAATCAGAAGTGGTCACATGACAGGATAGTCTCCTCTATTTCCCCTCCACTCAACCAAGTTTTCCTATTGTCTTATTTCAGCTGTCATGCAAAGCCTTGCCCATAAAAATGAGTGGCCTTTGGATAAGATGCGCATAACAGTAGATGTTACCAAGAAATATAAAGAGGAATTTACGCAGCCAGCTAGAGAAGGGGCATACATTCATGGTCTGTATCTGGAAGGTAAGCATTACCAGTACTCCTTTGATTGAAGGTTTTCCTATTGGTTTGAAAAGCTTTGGATTTTTTTATTTTTAAGCTGACTATAAATTTCTGTTAAGGTCAAAGGGACACGATATAAAAACTTAAAAATAGAGTAACTATTTTCAGAAGCTTTGCAAGTTACAAGATAGGTGTTCTTTCAGTTCTTTCCTTCTGCCACATTTTCCTTGTTTCTTAAACCAGTTCAGAGTAGGCATTTTCCCCAAGCATCCTAATCTTTTGTAGCCTCAATATTCTCTAAAAAGAACATTCACAATTCAGGGATCCATACTAAAAATGTCTATGCTGCAATGGGAGGTGTCCCATCTAGTAAAGGATATTATAGCAATATGGGTCACTGAGTGGGGAAAAATAACTGATACTGGTAAATATTATTGGGGAATGCAATACAATATGCTCTCGTTTGGCAAACCAGCTATACTTCCTTCCTCCACCCACTCCCAACATTTAGTATTTGCATGCTCTATGGATGCAGAAGTATCCGTTGCCAAGTCTTCATCTGAGTGTTTGCTCTCTCAAGACTTGGGTTATGGGATGGAGGTTTGAGAAGGAATCCTTTTGAAAAAAATATACATCTTTGGTTCCCTCGAACCTATTAATATCTCCCTGGTGTATTAAAGATTACCCTATAACAATACAATTATTGTCAGTATACTGTGTCGTACTACCTCTAGAGGTTTGCAAATCAATAAAGGGAATTTAAACATACGTAAGGTTTCTCAGTTTAAAGGACAGCATAGGTCCCTTCCACACAGCTGAATAAAATCCCGCATTATCTGCTTTGAATGGAAATATATGGCAGTGTGGACTCAGATAACACTGTTCAAAGCAATGTTGTGGGATTTTCTGCCTAGATATTCTGAGTTTATGGCTGTGTGGAAGGGCCCCTAGACTAGCCTTTCTAAAACTTTTTACCCTGTAAGAATGTTTGTAATAATCTTCAAATCTCAAAGAACCCCTATGTGGCGCGGGATTGTGGCGCAGCTGGCTGAGTGTCAGCTGCATTAAGATCACTCTGACCAAAATGTCATGAGTTCGAAGCCAGCCCGGGCTGGAGTGGGTGTCCAGCCATTGTGTAGCCCGTTGTCGACCTTTGCAACCCGAAAGACAGTTGCATCTGTCAAGTAGGAAAATAAGGCACCACCTTGTGTGGGAGGCTAAATTTAACTAATTTATGAGGCCATAAAGAAAGACTCCGGGGAATGTGGAATGCGGAAGAACTTCATCGGTGTCGTTGATGGACGATGAAAAGCAGCAGCTCCCCTGGCGGCCAGAAAAAAAAAGTTAAATAGCCTTTGTCTGTTAAATGTTGTTTGTCAAACTGGCATTGAATGTTTGCCATATATGTGTTTACTGTAATCCGCCCTGAGTCCCCTGCGGGGTGAGAAGGGCGGAATATAAGAACTGTAAATAATAATAATAAATTATCTACAGCTAAAATGGCTGCTACCAAACCACTTCTCGTGGAAGCAATAAACAAACTCCTCTAAGATGCCATCAGCTGTGTAAAACACACTCTAATTGTAGCACTACCAACAGAAATAAAAAAGAACCTGTGATTCTAGGATGCACCCTGTTTTTAGAGATGTTTATATGATGGAAAACTACATCGTAGAATTAAAGAAATACAATAGTTGAGAAACGCTGATACGGAGTGTGCTAACTTTCATAATGTCTGTCTGGGGGCCAACCTGAGCAGATATTAGTGAAGGAAAACTGTGTCCCTTGAGGCAGTGGTTCCCAACCTGTAGTCTGTGGACCACTTGTGGTCCATAAGAACTAAAATATGGTCCGTGGACTCACTGTTACTACACTGTTGCAATGAGAGCAACTGGTCTCGCGAATCCCTCTTAAGTGCTGAGGCATATTAAATATGGTTTTCTGTGGGCCAGAAGATGGTGAATACTGAATGGCATATGTTCTGTATCAGAAACTAGAGCTGATGCGGTCTATCCAATGCAATTTTCTGAATTAGCACCCCAAATAATCAAACTGAATCTAAAGTTGTCCAAAAACTGATTTGTAACTCTTTTGGTACTAATGTTGGAAAGTGGTTCCTGATCAAAGTGTCCTCTGGTCAAAAAAAGGTTGGGAAGCACTGCCCTGAGGGAATGGAAGAGTAATCTTGAAACTAATTTGTATTGTCAACTGTTCACAGGTGCTCAATGGGATATTCAAGGGGGACACATAGCCGAAGCTTATCTGAAAGCCCCAACGCAAGCGATGCCTGTTGTATTTGTGAGAGCCATCCCCAATGACAGACAAGAGACAAGAAACATATATGAATGCCCCGTATATAAAACAAAACTAAGGGGCTCCACTTATGTGTCGACCTTCCACTTGAAAACAAAGGAAAGGCCGGCAAAGTGGATTCTCGCTGGGGTTGCTTTACTTTTGAGCGTGTGACTACAAGCTTATCTAATTTCGTGCACTTGCTTCCTCACCTCAATTGAGTGTGTGTTTTTGTAGAATACACGGCCATACTCATGAGTCTTTAAGAGTGTGATAATGTATGCTTTACACCAGTAGTCCCAGTGGCTTTTTCAGAAAGATAAAGATCGCTCACATGAAAAAGACTTAACTGTTTCCAGTTTTATTTAACTGGCTTAAGTATGAAGCAATCAGGTAAGCAGTAAAGCTGTTAACAGCACTGGGAAAAGTAATCAATACAAAAACTGGAAGATCAAAGTATATCAACAATGGTTAAGTCTCAACCACTCTTTCTGATAATAGCCGTTTTTGCAGAGGGAAAAGGTCTTAATTGCCTTGATCCAGTAACTGCTACTATCCAGTGTAGGAACTCAAGATGGACCCAGGGTTTTCTCATCTGCAAGAGCTTCCCTCTTGAGGGGACCAAGGCAACCACAGAAGTACACAGACACCACACAAGAATTACATTTAAAAAAGAAAAACTCGTCACTTCTAAGCCGCATTTTTATTGTCAAGTTTCATAGTTCACAGAACCTATTTACAGTACGTATGAAACTACTTTAAGACAATATTATGAGTCTGGCCAGAGCCTTCTGCTATGGTTAAAACAAGCCTGCACAAAATCCATATGGCATGGCATTCACATGTTCAACCAAGTTTGAAGATTTACTTATGGAAGTAGTCAAGACAGCTTTAGATCTGGGGTGAGGCTCTCCAGGCGTTCCTAGACTACATTTCCAGCATCCCTTACAATTGGCTGTGTGGCCTAGGGCTGACTGGGAATTGCAGTCCCCTATCACCTGGAGAGTCACAAGTTGCCCATCACCCATTATGAATATTTTCACACAAACAAAACAGACCATTTGAAAATAAAACCTTTGCCCAGCTCTGTCTGATGGAGAAAAGATTCCTACTGTCAGTTATTGTTTACCGCAGTGGTTCCCAATCTTTAGTCCTCCAGGTGTTTTGGACTTCAGCTCCTAGAAATCCCAGCTATCTTACCAGCTGTTAAGATTTGTGGGAGCTGAAGTCCAAAACACCTGGAGGATCAAAGGTTGGGAACCACTGGTTTACTTACAAAGTATCATTTAACAATGAGCTACATACAATGTGCTAGAAGTCACCTCTTCATTGTAGTTTCTGAACACATTAAAGAAATAGCTAGGCATTCTATTGTCCACTAGTAAACTATTCTACATAGCTAGTTTTCCCGCCATGAGTGTGTGCATGGTTAACACTGTTCTTTCCCTTTCCTTTTAAGCCAGTGGTTCTCAACCTGTGGGTCCCAGATGTTTTGGCCTCCAACTCCCAGAAATCCTAACAGCTGGTAAACTGGCTGGGATTTCTGGGAGTTGTAGACCAAAACACCTGGCGATCCACAGGTTGTGAACCACTTCCTTTAAGCATTGCTTGTTATACACAGAAAGCGTTTTGATTTTAAGCAAGCGCAATGTCAAGTTTTTTTCAACATGAACTACATAATTGAAAGCAACAGTCTCCCACCTTTTACTGATGCTTGAAGTGCAAACCCCCATTATAACAACAAAACGCCACCTAAAATAGCATAGACACTCAACTCCTGAAATAAGATGCTCTTCATGACCAGTCTACACAGTGGCAGATGAACCTGAACTATCTCTAATTGAACTGCAACGATCGACACAATTCTCTGCTTTATGGGGAGCCAACAGGATCTCAAATTCATCTGACTATACAGCCACAAAATGATGACATGAGTGCTGAGATCTACCAGGGTCCCCTAGAGGTCTCAGCACTGATGTAATCGTTATGCATCTGGCTATGGGCACATAGCCAAATGCTTTTGCAATCTTGCCTGCCCACAAACAAAAAGAGCAGGAAATGGTGAGGGGAGGGGGAAAGAGACCATCCAAAGTATATGGCTCAGCCTAATTACGCTATTGCTAAGCTCGTAAGATTTCAGCCATAGACTCTTGATCATGCAACCCCCAGTGCCTGAGTCTCTTTTCCAACTACCTCCAAAAATGCAAGGTCCTGGCACTGATAACCAACAGAACCATCTCCTTTGACAAATCAGAGCCTTTCTGTAAGTACCATCCAAGTAAGTTAAGCAAGTATATTCATGTAGCTGGCATAATGTAATTAATAACGTAACAGAGTATGAAATCAGAACAACTTCTAGTTGAAAACAGTAAAGACTCACATCCTGTAATATCTAATGCCAGTCAAATGACTCAACTGAGTCAATTACTTTTGTTTCCCTTTTTAAACATGCTGAAATTGTAAAAAAAAATGTTGAAAAACTTCAATGAGAATGCTAAACTGGTGTATGTTGATTGCAGATCAGTGTCAGGATTTTCATTCTTGCATTTCAAGTTCTTGCTTCAGACTATAATAAAAATATAGAAAAGATATTACGACATTTATAAACTGAGGCAAAGGCCATCCATAATCCAATACACATTTGTTCTGAACCAGAAAAGGGACCTCCAGTGGTGCAGCGGGTTAAACCGCTGAACCTGCTGACCAAAAGGTTGGTGGTTTGAATCTGGGGAGTGGGTTAGCCCCAGCTTCTGCCAACCCAGCAGTTTGAAAACATGCAAATGTGAGTAGATCAATAGGTACCGCCTGGCGGGAAGGTAATGGCGCTTCATGCAGTCATACTGGCCACATGACCTTGGAGGTGTATATGGACAACGCCAGCTCTTCAGCTTAGAAATGGATATAAGCACCACCCCCAGAGTCAGATACGACTAGACTTAATATCAAGGGAGAACCTTTTCCTTTACCTTCTTTAGGCAAGGAATACCCAGAGGTGCTTTTGCAGTCCTTTCAAATGTAGCCTACATCATTGTTGGTTTCCCATTCAAGCATAATTAGAGCTGAACTTGCTTAGCTTCTCAAGTTGAGGCACCTTTACTTTTCTGAACCTTTACCTTTACTTTTCTGAACCAGAAAACCTATTCTTCCACTTCCTGCTTCCATGCCTCTTTTATGTGGAAATGTATGAGCTGAACTCGTCTTTCACACATTATTGTCTAAAAACCTTCTCCCAATACACTTAATTTAGTTCACGAAAACACAAAAGGATGGGGTAGACTATAACCAGTGCACCAACATAGGAAACTTGGGGAGGGGAGTTACACCGAAGTTACCTTTTCAGATAGGCATGGACGTTGTCATAACCGTGATACTTGGCCAAATAAACCAGAACGCCTGTTGCACACCTTCCTTCCCGTTGCCTGCAGAAGCTGCAGTTGCAGATTCCACGGCAGGGTGGGCAATACCAGTCCTGAAGAAGAAAGAACACATAATGCATATGTTCATAACTGAAACAAGTAATTTTGCAATGACTCATTCCTTTCTGATCAATAAGCTTATGCCTAGACTCTTAAAGTTGCACTGAAGGAGCCTATCGAATAAATAAGAATCTACAGGAGTCTGTTTGTACCAACTTTAACACATGGTTAAATGAGCCTCCAGGGAGATGCCCTTACCGGATCCAGCAAAGCAGTTTTGACTTCCTCTCCATAGCGGTTGCGAAGACAGGGCCCACAAAACTGGCCCCGTACTCCTATACATTCTGGGTTGCGACAGTTTGTCTTGGTGTCGATAGTTTTCTGGCGGCACTGATGACAGGTGGACCCCTATAAAAAAGCAGAGAGTTAGGTTTGAGATTGCTGCAGACTGATCTATAGAAGTTAAGCATCCTGAAAAAGAATCACACTTCGCATATGGGCAGCCATGATTAGAATACCATCTTGATTTTGAAGTAGAATGGATATTAAGGATGTACAAATGAGGCTGGAAAGACTGAAAGGCACTTAGGCCCCTTCAACCCTTCCATATAAAATCCAGATTATCTGTTTTGATAATCTGGATTATATGGCAGTGTAGAAGAGATCTCAGATACAGTCAGACCCAACTGCTGTGCTTGTATGCCCCTTTTAATACCTTGCTTCCTCCCTTCCAGTTTAGCATCAAACTATATGTTGTAAGGACCCCCTGGTGGCGCAGCAGATTAAACCGCTGAGCTGAACTTGCTGACCAAAAGGTCGGCAGTTCAAATCCGGGGAATGGGATGAGCTCCCACTGTTAGTCCCAGCTTCTGCCAACCTAGCAGTTCAAAAACATGCAAATTTGAGTAGTTTAATAGGTACCACTTCTGCGGAAAAGTAACGGCACTCCATGCAGTCATGCTGGCCACTAGGGCTGGGCGATTTCGTTCGTTAATTTCGTAATTCGTTATTGATTCATATTTAAATTAGCTTACGAACCGATATTGAACCATTTAGGAGCAACTAAAAATTGAAACGAATTTTTCAATTCATTTCGTAATTGTTTTGAAATTGTTTCGAAATCGTTTCGTTATTACTTCCATATGTCTGGTGCAAGTTTTATAGTTGTTGTTTGTTTTCTTAGTGATAAAAAAATAAATTATCACACCAACAGTCAACAACAGAGGGAGAGGGAAGCTTCAGAAGTTCCCCCTGTCCCATTTGGAGGTTTTTTTAGCGTATTGCGCAGTCGTGTCCGCCATTAACGAATCAATTCGTAATTGTTTTGTAATTTCCGAAATTTCGTATATTTCGAACTTTTTAAAAGAAAAATTTCGGAATTCTTTTAAAAAACGAAACGCAAAAAACTCCTAAAAACGAATCGAGTTTAGAAACAAATTTTTCCGTGGTTACCCAGCCCTACTGGCCACATGACCTTGGAGGCGTCTATGGACAATGCCAGCTTAGAAATGGAGATGAGCAGCACCCCCCAGAGTCAGACACGACTAGATTTAATGTCAAAAGAAACCTTCACCTTTTTTTATATGTTGCCATTATATCTTAAAACTAGACAAACAAATGGCACCTTATGCTTCGACAACTAAACTAGAGGTAGGCAAAGGACTGGAGGATACAAACACGCAACTCAGCAACATAGTTCCAACCCAAACTTTCAAGGCATGTCCACATGTTTTTATCTCGAGATACTGTGCTTCCTGATTACTTGAAAAGTTTTAATACAAAGGAATAAATTGGAAGAAGTCGAACCCAACAACATATTGGTTGACATCCTGTTTGTGAATTAAGATGGAAATATTCAGACTTATGCCATTGTAAATCATTTTATGATTGTTGAGTAGGTGAGAAATTCCGTTCTGTCCACTCAACAACCCAAATCTCCCCAATTCACCAAACAAACAACACAGCCCCTCTAGCACAGCATAGTCAAAGGACACAAAACAAAAAAACAACAAGTACAATAATTTTAGACCAGGTATCCTAAATGGACCACACCCCATCTGATTGCTAAAATGAAAGCAAGGACTACCAGATGCTTAGACAAATCACTCAGAATATTCCTTTCCTAAGAATAATAAATTAAATTCAATTAGATAAACAGCACACAAACAAACAGGTATGCTAATATAGAGTGTCTGAATGCAGGGCAGGAGTATCCTTACCAGTGTACGGTTGTACACTTTATCACTGGCAGTTTCACAGATATTATTTAACTCTGCCTGGGTTATTTCTTCCACTGGACGGATAACATGGGGAAGAGTCATAGCGCTGTTACGTTTTCTTCTGGGAGCATCCATTTCATCCTGAAATTATCAGAAAACCAAATGAACTTGGTAAGTATGCACACAGTGCAACCAAGTATTGTAACTACCAGAATCACAAAAATAGTGATTTTAGGTATTAATCTGTAGTTCTTCTAGTTGCACACTACATTCCTCACATGACTCACAGGCAAACCCCAAAACATTTGTGGGCATAATATGTCACAACCACTGCTCAAAAGAAAGATCATGGGGGGAAAAGGTAATAAATGTCTGCTATTCATAATGGGCTTGTCACTTTCACAACACACATATTACTGGGGAACATAAATGAGATGCTGGTTTTCCACAAACTGAATGGCCACTTGGAACAGAATGCTGGATCAGATCAGCCATTACTCTAATGCAGCACAGCATTTATGTTAAGAACTATCCCAATTCAGTTTGCTATGGAGATGCCAGGGTTTTTCTTCCCTGATGGAGCCACAGTGGTGCAATGGGTTAAACCCTTGTGCCAGCTGAACTGTTGACCTGAGGACCTGAAGGTTGGGTTGGCAGTTCGAATCTGAGAAATGGGGTGAGCTCCCATCTGTCAGCCCCAGCTTCCCATGCGGAGAAATGAGAGAAGCCTCCCACAGGATAGTAACACATCCGGGCAACCCATGGGCAACATTCTTCCAGACACCCAATTCTCTCACACCAGTATATTCTCAATTCGCTTCTGACACGATAAAAAAAAATCCCTTCCCATTGGGTGAAGAAAATCTAACAAAGGGGGCATTAGATGAACTGTGGTCTACACTGCACATTTATCATCCTTGTGGGAGGCTTCTCTCATGTCCCCGCATGAGGAGCTGGAGCTAATAGAGGGAGCTCATCCGCCTCTCCCCGGATTTGAACCTGCGACCTGTCGGTCTTCAGTCCTGCCGGCACAGGGGTTTAACCCACTGCGCCACCGGGGGCTCCATCCCTGGGCAACGTCCTTGCAGACGGCCAATTCTCTCACACCAGGAGTCACTCCTGACCCGACAAAAAAACAAAACAAAAACAAAACCTGCACATTTACTGTCCACATCACAATTTTTAGGTGAGGCAACAACCTGTATCTAATCCAAGCTAAATCTGTATTTGAAAGGCTTCTACAAAGTAACATAGCTATAACATCATCACCAACACAAACCTCAGAATAGTCATCAAATGTTCTCCTTCTCACTAAAACGTAAGGATCTTCCTCCTGCTTGTCTGACATGGGGCTTGGAGGACCTTCAATCAAGGATCGCGATCTGGTGTGAGGCCTAGAACTTCTCTCTGGATTCCTCCGTAAAGCACTTCTGGGAAATGATTTCCTGGGAGTCCTCCGTGGTTTCTGAGATGGGGACAAAGGTAACCCAACATCACAATTACAACTTCACCCTATGTATTACCTAAAATATTTCAAATATTGACCATTTCCCTATGCTAGCTGATTTGTTAGTAAGTAAATGCATCATGAGGCATGAACTCAGTAAGCAAGTACAGGGCTGCCGCCTAAGGCTCAGTTCACATATAACAAGCATCAAAAGAAATCTCAATATTTCAAGGTTGTGACTCACCGAAATAGGGGTTGTCAGTAGACCTTTCCCAGGAAACATTCCAGGGACACTCAATTCTGCCATCAATCTTGCAAGCTAAAAAAAATAAGAATATTTCAGGATACTTGTGCAGCTACAGGATCTTAATGCAATGCTCATTCACAAATATGTTGTGTGCGCCTTCAAGTTGTTTCCGACTTGTGGCAACCCTAAAGCAAACCTATTATGGGGTTTTCTTGCCTTGCCTTTTACCTTCCTCTGAAGCTGAGGAAGTATGACTTGTCCAAGGTCACACAATAATAAATAAATAAATAAATAAATAATCTTTATTTATACCCCGCGCCACCAACTCCCCGAAGGGACTCGGGGCAGCTAACATGAGGCCAGACCCAAATAGAATACAATAGAGCAAAGTACATATAAAACAAAACATTATCAAATAAAATACTTAATAATAACAAAGTAATGAAATGAAAATAAAATAATAATAAAACAAATGATAAAATGGTAGTAGAACAAAGAGAGCTAGGCCAATGGATAAAAATTGATAAAACCCATGGGTGAGATAGATAGAAAGTGCTATGACTTGTGGGGGGCTCGGATGGGATAATCTCCAACTGAGGGATAAGATGAAGAGCATCAGAGAGACAAGTTGGACCTGGGACGGGACGTGGCATGGAAATTGGTTGTTCAATCCCCAAAAGCACATTGGAAAAGCCAGGTTTTTAAACTTTTTCTAAAGGCTGCCAGGGTGGGTGCCTGTCTAATCTCCCTGGGGAGTGAATTTCAGAGCCAGGGAGCAACCGCAATGGGTTCCCATGGCTGAACAAGGATTTGTACCCTGGTTTCTGGAGTCATAATCAAATGCTCAGACCACTGCACTGCACTGGCTCTTATATGCTGAATTCAGAAATGCAGCACATGAATGACCTTAAATGAAAATATATGTTTTGTAACTTTTGTAAGCTGTTTCTGGAGGCAACAAGGACCAGGTTAAATTATTTTGTATTAAAATGAGTGCAGTGTGCAATGTGTTAATCAAAGTGGTGAGTCATGGGCCAGTGCTGGTTCATGAGGTATTTATTGCCAGCCTGGAAAAGAAACAACTGTAGTCCATTGGTACAAATAGTATACTAGTCACAAGCACACTGGAAAAATGACAACCCCCAGTCTACTACATCAGCAAACTTGGAAAGCACCAATGTGGAATGCCACATAATGGCATTGAGTTTGCTTTTATTAAGTATAGCGCAACCAAGAACTATCACACAGGTTCATCAGGTGGCGCAATGGATTAAACCCTTGTGCCGGCAGGACTGCTGACCAGCAGATGGCCAGTTTGAATCCAGGGAGTGGGATGAGCTCCCATCTCAGCTCTAGCTTCCCATGCAGGGACATGAGAGAAGCCTCCCACAGGATGGTAAAAACATCAAAATATCCGAGCATCCCCTGGGCAACGTCCTTGCAGACGGCCAATTCTCTCACACCAGAAGCAACTTGCATTTTCTCAAGTCGCTCCTGACACACACACAAATCAGGACATGACATTTAATCGAGAAGTGCTTTTTTTGTAACTTACCATGGCCTTGTTTTCCTTTATATTTAAAGCTCTTTTCTCTAAGAATTTTGGGCCTCTTTCTTCATCAGAATCCGAATCCTGGTCCAGTTCACAGGGAAGTTTAGGAGCAGGAACTCTTTCAGCCTCCCTCCTCTTAGACCTCCGAGGTGGAAACTTCAGAGCAACTTTAAGAGGGACAGGGCAATTCCGTGGTCTCTTATTATGTTGATGTTTATCTTCATCACACTCATTGTTTTCTTCAGAATCGGTATCCAGTTTCTATTCAAGAGTAAAAATGAATCAACAAGATGCATATTACCAATTCCAGTTCTAGATCAGGAAAATCTACAATACGGAACTACATCACAGATATTTGTACAGTGCTGTCTCTTTACAGTCATTTTAAATTACCCTTCTTTAGATCCAAAGCCCACTAAATTCATCTGGGAAAACTATACTGACATGTGCAACAAAAGCCACAGCTGATAGTTCTCACTTTCATCAGGTCTGAGCCGACCCTTTCATGACAGCATATAGAACAGCCTCATTTTTCTTGAATCTTTCCAATAAGTTGTGATTAGTGAAATACAATCTCAATGCTACATTAGACTGCTTCAATGACCAATGTTTTGCTTGCTCTTGCTCAATGTAAGATTTCTATCTTGGGACCAAGCAAAATGAAACTGGACTTATTTTGAGATCAGTATGAACATTTAAGGGGCTGCGGTGGTGCAGTGGGATAAACCGCTAAGCTGCTGAACTTGCTGACCGCAAGGTTGGCAATTTGAATCAACGGGACAGGGTGAGTTCCCATTGTTAGCGTCAGCTTTTGCCAACCTAGCAGATCAAAAACATGCAAATGTGAGTAGATCAATAGGTACCACTTCGGTGGGAAGGGAACAGCGGTCCAAGCAGTCATGCCGGCCACATGACCTTGGAGGTGTCTACAGATAATGCCAGTCCTTTGACTTAGAAATGGAGATGAGCACCAACCCCCCAGAGTCAGACTCAACTAGACTTCATGTCAAGAGGAATCCTGAACCTTTAGTACATTTAATACAACAAAACTGAACTGTACAACTCACCAACGCATCATGAATCTCACTTTCCGAAAAACCACAGAATGATTCATCATCTGAATCCTCCTTGAAGATTTTGGCCATTTCTTCTGTAACTTCTGGCTTGAAATTCGATTTCTTTAAAAAAACGAATACACCAGGTTTTTCTCTTTCTTTCTTTTTTTTTAAAAAAGAACCTATTTTCCACAAACTGTTTAGAGAGCAAATCACATTTTACAAGTACACTACAAGAGAATAGCTTTTGTAACAAAGAAAAATGGTTCAGGGGGTTTACAAATGGTTTCAGAGCTGTTATGGCAAATCATCAGCATGTTAGGTTAGGCGACATTTCAAAAGGATAGAATAAGTGGCTAATCTACCTCCAACAATTACTACCTAGAAGCAGAAGGGAAAAAGTGAAATGAAATTACAGTACATATTGTATATTCATAACTGCTGTATAGAAATGTAAGCAAAGCATTTTAATCGCATATGGGGCATTTTTCGACAGCACACATTCAATTCTGTTTATTCTCACACTTTTTACTTACCGTGTTTGCAAAATTATCGGAGCCAAAACTGTCACAGCTGTCATCAGAGGATGAAGAGGTTTCCATAGGGATCAGCTTTGTATTGCGGAATGCCGTAGATTTCTTCTTTCCTGAAAGGTTGCCCTGAGAAATGGACAATGGCAGTTCAATTAGTCATTGTAATAAGGTAGGCTTTCCAGGGCGACCCTATGAAAACCAGATATCAAGAGTACACACACCGTAGCATCAGAAAGGTAATGGAAAGAGACATTAATTGTATTTGTGGCACCACAAGCAAAACACCTGAGCACTATTTGCTAGGCAGCAGGCACTTTCATCACATAAACTTTACACAGTGATACATGTTTATATATGAATTCTACTCTTTAGAATTATGAATTGAAATGTATGTTAGTGCAATTATCCAGTGCTATGTCAGTTATTATGTTAGTGCAATTATACATAAATACAACAATGCTATTTAAGATATACATTTCTGAAAACTTAAAACAGTTTCAGAATTAAAGCAATACTTTTCAGACTGTTTTTATTAAGTTTTCCCATCTTATCTTTCAAGCTGTGGCCAATTCATATAACGCTAGCCTTTCCTTTTTTCTGCCAATCTTATCTTATCTTCAGTCACTTCAGCCTTTGCATGGCAACCCTGGCACAGGTTCAGCACAGGTGTGTCACTGGGCACTTACTGTAACTGATTTATGGTACACAAAAAGGACTGTTAGACCGAGGTAAAGCAGCCATTAGACTAGTCAATAATCTACCAAGCACACATATAAAAAAACGGATCCACTTGTGAAGCCTAGATATGCCAACTTCAGGAATGTCAACACACACATTTAATGAAGAAAGGCATATGGTATAGTAATTTGAAGGCTGGAGATCAAGGTTTGAATTCCCATACAGCCATCCATACTTGAGTCTTTCTGCCCCGCTAGCTCAGTTGACATCTTGAGCAGTGATCAATTTATATGCCTCCAAGGAACTCTGTTGACTCTGGGAAATTGACGCTTCTGTTTTTATGTTTGTTTTTATGTCTGATATAATAGCTTATTTAAATTTTATTTTAATTTGCTAAGTTATAATGTGTTTTTATTATGCCGTGGAGTTTAATTTTTGTTACTCTATGTCTATTAGTTGTTATGTTCAGGCATTGAATGTTTGCCCTTTTTGTGATTGGAATCCGCCCTGAGTCCCTTTAAGGAGATAGAGCGGAATATAAATAGTTATTATTATTATTATTTGAAAGACAACAAGATGAGTCCACAGCAGACACTCTGGTGGCTGTTGTACTGGATCACATGTCAGGCACTTCCCAAGTGTCTAGGACTGTGTGATGTATCGGCGAATAATATGTGCAGATCCCAGTAAGGTGGCCTTCTGCAGCTGGCAGATGCTAATTTTTTCAGTGCCGATTGTGTTTAAGTGCAGGCCAAGGTCTTTAGGCACTGCACCCAGTGTGCCGATCACCACTGGGGCCACACCTTGACTGGCTTGTGCCAGAGTCTTTGCAGTTCAATCTTTAAATTCTGTGATTATTATTATTATTATTGAAACCAATTGAGTGTTCTTGGGCAGGTTACACTGTCTCAGCCTCAGAATAAGGTAATGCAGGATACAAATGAATAATTAATAATGCACAACATGGCTACTGTTAGTATAATGCATTTATTTGAAAACACTCCACAAAGACTGGTGCAATTTAAAAGCTGGTTCCTTACTTGCTAGTCTAACTAGAGCAGGTGTCCTCAACTAATGCCCAGGGGCCAAATAGGGCCCTCCAAGGTCATTTACCCAGCCCTAACTCAGGGTCAACCTAAGTCTGAAACGAACTGAAAGCACACAGCAACAACAACAATCCTATCTCATCAGCCAAAAGCAGGCCCACACTTCCCATTGAAATACTAATAAATTTATATTTGTTAAAACTGTTCTTCATTTTAATTATTGCATTGTTTAAAGTGTTTCTTGGACCTCAAATAAGATATGTGCAGTGTGCATAGGAATTCATTCATGCTTTTTTCAAATTCTAATCTGGCATTCCAACAGTTTGGCCCTCTGTTTAAAAAGTTTGAGGACCCCTGAATTAGAGTATACCTATTTATTTATTTATTTATTATATTTATATACTGCCTCTCTCAGCCCGAAAGGCGACATTTGACTCAACAGGAACTTGCTAAGTTGACGCTAGTGTAAGTTTATTTATTTAGGGAGCCCATTCTAGTCAATACTAACAATTGGATTTAAGGTAATGTGCCCAAGTACTGAATACTAGAAGCAAATTTTGGTTCTAAGTAAAAGAAAACTAAGATATTTTTAGAAACTTCTTCTGATCTCATTTTTATCCTGGCACTGATTTCCCAGGATCTGATCCCAGGTTTTCTTTTTATCCCAGATTATCTGGCAGTTTGAAGCAGAAAACCTGGGATCAGGGCCTGTCTGGAAGGGACCTGAGTTGATAGCTTCCCTGCCTATCACATTAAAAGTGATTTACTGTTTCCAAATGCATTTTTCTGAATATCATCCCAAATAACATACAAGAAGCTAGACCAGTGCTTCTCAACTCAGATGTTTTGGCCTTCAACTCCCAGAAATTGTAACAGCTGGTAAACTGGCTGGGATTTCTGGGAGTTGTAAGCCAAAACACCTGGGGACCCGCAGATTGAGAACCACTGGGCTAGACCTTCCATTCTGCAAACACACACACACACATCCAGATAACATACATAACCACACACAGACTTTCATACCCACCTGGTTCACCACTAAACTCTTTTTCTTACATGCATGGACCGATATGCCTCCATGAGATTCATTATACCTAACTCTTCTCCACTCTAAGCCATCACATAAGCACCCATTCTAACATATGTGTGCGTGTGTGTGTATTAGGGCTATTCTAGGAAGGGTCACCAAAAAGTAATCCCTACTTGCCACCACGTGCATCCAGTTACATCCAATTAACTCCAAAGTGGAGTCTGGCCTTCAAGGAATTAACTGTTAGAAGTAAAGCAAAAAAGTTATATAAGGTTTAATATATGGCAAAGTGTGCCTTTAAGCACAGAGTAATATAAAGAACCACATGGTTGTGAGGAAAAGTGCCTTGTTTCAACACTGTGTAAGCCTAACCACAAATGCTTCCACATAGACAGACAGGTGATACATCCAAGATGAAGAGGCCAAATCTGAAAAGAGTCAGAGTCCTCACTCAGCCATGCAAACATAGTGTCTCATATATCAAGTCACACACTCTCAGCCTCAGAGGAAAAAAACAGAAACTTTGCCAAGAAAATCCCATGGTAGATTCACCTTTAGAGTTGGCCTAAGTCAGGAAATGACTTGAAGACACACTCCCACAAAAAAGTAAACTTGTGCCTTGTCCACATCCCACACCTCTTTGTGCATTACTCCCCCACCTGTTATTTGTCTTTTTATTCTTGAAGCTCAATACTAAAATAAAAACAAAAAAAAACTAGCCCTTGTCTCCATCCATCTCCAGACCATATTCCAGTGTTTTCAGTAACTACTGAGTAAGACCAATCAGAGCACTTTTTAGGCACTGTGTACTAATTAATAGGGAGCCCACAGTGGTGCAGTGGGACGGCTAGTTTTCAATATTGTATTGTTCTTTCATGTGTTTTTGCTTGCACTACAAATAATACATGTGCAGTGTGCATGGGAATTTGCTCTTGCTTGTTTCGAACTAGAGTTTGGCCTCCCAACAGTCTGAAGGCCCTTCCAGGCAGGCCCTAGATCTGATCCCAAGTTTTCTCTTTATCCCAGATTATCTGGCAGTGCAGACTCAGGGCCCTTCCACTCAGCCCTATATCCCAGAATATAAAGACAGGAAATCCCACATTATCTGAGTGTGGGCTCAGATAACCCAGTTCAAAGCAGATAATGTGGGGTTTTCTGCCTTGGTATTCTGGGATAGAGGACTGTATGGAAGGGCCCTCCCTCATATAATCTAGTTTAAAGCAGAAAACCTGGGATCAGATCCTGGGATGTGAGGCCTGCCTGGAAGGGCTCTGAGGCTTGAAAAGTTTGCCTTAAGGGGAAAGGGCCAATGCTTAACTGTTGTGTGCAAAGGTAGTTCTTCTGCAAGGCACAATTTAGGTGGTTTCCTCCTTTTTGCAGAAAGGGCAAACTAGCCTGCCCATTCTATCCCGCCTTCCTTCTCCAGCAGTCAGAGAGTGCCAGGCCCAGCCTCAGGCAGCTCAGGAAAGGCAGGCGGCCCTCCCATTGCCAACGTGTTCAGACTGGAAAGCATGAAGCGCGGGAAAACAGTCGAAGCCTGGCCTTCTTCTCTCCCCGCCCCCCTTCATTATCCTAGGCAAGGAACAATAACATTCACTCCCTCCTCCCCTATTACTTGCAGAGGCTTCCCAAGGAAGCCTTTTCCTGAGGCTGAAATCTAACACATAGGAAGTTTTACTATGAAGCAGTAGTCAGGTAGTAGTCAGTAATCTGTAGTAAAGAGAGCATAATAATAATAATCATCATCATCATCATCATCATCATCATCATCATCATCATCATCATCTTTATTTATACCCCGCCACCATCTTCCCCAACGGGGACTCAGGGTGGCTTAAATGAGGCCAAGCCCAAGCAACAAATTACAGCAAAATAAACCAAAAACAAAAGCAACAAACAGCAACATCATAATTACGTAAAAACATATGAATACATTAGCAATATAAAATTACAATAACACAATCACAGTGACAATGGGTGGGCCACATGTGCAGAATAAAATGATTTTTAAAAAACTCGAGTGGTATAGTGGTATAGTACAATATAGAAATATATAATACTAATATTGTGCTATGCTAATAATATATTGTATGTACAAATAACTTTAAGCCACTCTGAGTCCCCTTTGGGGTGAGAAGAGAGGCATATAATATAAATGTCATAAATAAATAAAGACATGGGAATAAACACGGAACACGTGTCCTTACTTACAATGCCATCTATCTATATAAATAAAAATGTAATGTTCATTTGTGAGATTAACATAACTCAAAAACCACTGGGAGAATTGACACCAAATTTGGACACTTATTTATTTATTTATTTATTTATTATTCAAACTTATATGCCGCCACTCCCCTGGGGCTCGGAGCGGCTTACAAGAACAGGCTAAAATCTAACACAATTTAAAAACAATTTAAAAACAGCAGGCCAACAAGTGACTATCACTCATAAAAACACTGAAAAACATAACAGAAGAGACTTAAAAAGCCAAAAAATAAAATAAAAATACATTACATTACAACACATGTGCATAACCACATAAATACACATATACACAAATATATACACACACATATAAACACACTCAAAACACATATACACAGACTGGGCCACAGTAATGCGTGGCTGGGGACAGCTAGTACAGATATTAAAAGTGTTCTGGTCTACATAAAGGCAAAGAGCTGTAAGAGTTTGAGTGCTGGACTGCAGGGTTGCATTCCACATTGTGGAAGACACTGTTGAGTTCAGTTTGGCAACCACTTGCATTGCCATGGCTCAGTGCTATGCTGTTTTATAAGGTTTTTAAGCCTTCTCTGCCAGAGAGAGCTGGTGCCCCTCCAAACTACAACTCCCAGGATTTCACAGCATTGAGCCCTGGCAGTTCAAGCGCTTATGAAACATGCTTTTGTGCAAACACACATGGCTATGGCGGCTGCGTGGCTTCCCTTCCTTTCCCCTAAGGGGGAAATCAGGAAAGGAATTCCACTTGAGAGCTTGGAAGAGCAAAACAATCCCCATTTGGGGCTTACATTCCCATGCTGGCTGGAAAGGAGAAGTTTCTACTGGATCTTCTCCACTGCAATAAATATTTCGGAAGCCAATAATTACACTTTTGATTACAGCCGGCCTTCTTTATCCACGGATTCTATCATCCAAAGTTTGGGCCCCTTCCACAGAACACAGAATATCAAGGCAGAAAATCCCACAATATCTGCTTTGAACTGGGTTATTGAAGGGCCCTTCCACACAGCTGAATAAAATCCCTCATTATCTGCTTTAAACTGGAATATATGGCAGGATGGATTTAGATAACTCAGGGCCCTTCCACACAGCCCTATATCCCAGGATATCAAAGCAGAAAATCCCACATTATCGGAGTGTGGACTCTGCTAACCCAGTTCAAAGCATATATTGTTGGATTTTCTGCCTTGATATTCTGGGTTATATGGCTGTGTGGAAGGGTCCTAGGTCAAAGAAGATAATTTGGATTTTGTATGGCATTGTGGAAGGAGCCTAATGACATATTCCTCCCAGGCCCCTTCCACACAGCTGAATAAAATCCCACAGTATCTGCTTTGAACTGGAATATATGACAGTGTGGACTCAGAAAACCCAGTTCAAAGCAGACATTGTGGGATTTTCTGCCTTAATATTCTGGGATACAGGACTGTGTGGAAGGGCCCAGAATCCACACTGCCAAGTATCTCAGTTCAAATCAAATAATGTGGGATTTTATTCAACTGTGTGGAAGGGGCCTTGGAAATATCCCCCCCAAAAAAGCAAACCTCAGTTTTGCCATGATATATAAGGCACCATATTACTTTCCCGTGGTATGTAATGGGACCTGGAAACTCAAGGATTTTGGTATCCACGTGGGGCTTGGGATCAAACACCAGGACCCTTTTACACAGCCCTATATTCCAGAATATCAAGGCAGAAAATCTCTGCTTTCAACTGGGTGATACAAATCTACACTCAGATAAAGTGGGATTTTTGCCTTGATATTCTGGGATATAGGGCTGTGTGGCAGGGCCCTGTGTCCACACTGCCATATATCCCAGTTCAAAGCAGATAAAATGGGATTTTATTCAGCTGTGTGGAAGGGGCCTGAATCCACATTGCCATATATTCCAGTTCAAAGCAGATATTGTGGGATTTTCTGCTTTGATATTCTGGAATTTAGGGCTGTGTGGAAAGGCCCCGAGGAGTGTACTTATTGTATTTTTACTCAAAGGCTGGTCTGTGTAGAACTATATGTAAATACAATTCAGTGCTCTCAGTGTAGAACCAGCCTCAAACTTTCTCCAAAGTGTTTGGTGACATCAGTTTCATAGCACTTCAGAAAGAAAAACCCTCCTTGAATGATAAATGGGACTTTATAAACATTTCAAATTATCCCATTGCACAACTAAGGGCCTTAAGTCCACAATATCTGCTTTGAACTGGGTTATCTGAGTCCACACTGCCTTATATTCCAGTTCAAAGCAGAGAATGTGGGATTTTATTCAGCTGTGTGGAAGGGGCCTGAGATATCTGTATCCACATTCAGATTATGTGGGATTTTGTCTTGATGTTCTGGGATATGGGGCTGTGTGGAAGGGTGCATTTTATCCTAGATAGAATGAAACCCTAACCCTTTCCCAAACTGACTGCCATGTAGTACAGTTTGAAACTGCATCATGTGGTCAGTGTAGACCCATATAAAACCATTTAAATGCATTATATAGGTCTACACCAGGTATAAGCAAACTTGGACCCTCGAGGTGTTTTGGACTACAACTCCCACAATTTCTAACAGCCTACCGGCTGTTAGAAATTGTGGGAGTTGTAGTCCAAAACACCTCGAGGGTCCAAGTTTGCTCATGCCTGGTCTATACCGTGTATATGATGCAGTTCCAAACTATTATATGGAAGTGTAGGTCTAGCACATATACACACAATTTCTGTTATACTACTGATCCATTTTCCCATAGCATCTACGAGTTTTGGTATCCTGGCACCAAACCCCAGTGGATATACCAAAGCCCTGTTACATTTCCATTCATTCCCTCTTTCCTTTGCCTGCCCTTCCTTCCCCTCCAACTGAGTCTCCAATGTATTGGAAATCCTTCCCATTCACCCCAACATAAATTAAACCCCTGCTTACTGTGTCCCTACCTGCAAATGGAAAGGGTCCATGCTGGCAGCTGGGTTGCCACTGGAGGAACGCAATTGCACCATTGCAACTTGGAGATGGAGATGGAGCCAGGCAGAGAAAGGAGAGCCACGCCGCCAAAGACTCGCGCCAAAGCCTCTCCAAAAAGGATTGGGGGCAGTTTTCCCGCGAAAGTGAACAAGTCCTGGAAGGTTTATAAAATCGCCTCTGTCCAGGCAGGGTTTTTTGCCCCGCCTCCTTGCGAGTGAGCCATGCATAGAAACAAAGTTAAAGACAAAGGGAAAACGCCTGCCCCCTTTTTGGGTCTGCCCCCTTCTTTTTTAATTTAAACCCCGCAGTTCTTTTTGTGGTGCTGCAAGGACCTACCTATCTCAGTGGCGCGAAATAGTAAGGAGGTATTTGCATAGCAAAGAAGCAGGGAGGGAGGGGCTGAAATGCCCCAGGGGAAAGAGATTGGGCTCTAAAAAGCTTTCAGACTTGCAGCATGAAACATATAAAGGTTTTGTGCCTCTCAGGTCTGTAAAGAGAAGAAGAAAAACCAATTTAATAAAATCCATATAAAAGTTCCTGGCACATGAGGAAGCATGGAAACAGTTCTTGGAACTAATTTAAATAAATAAATACACAAAATATTAAATAAAACACAGATTTATTTCACAAAATATATTGAATGGTTACTTTGATTAAGTTGCTTTGGGCAGCAGGGCTCTCAATGATCTAGAGCTGTAATTCTTTTTATTCATTACAGAATATCAAGGCAGAAAATCCCACGCCACCCTGTTCCATTTTTATTCAATTAATTAATTTAATGTATTCAGTAGGCCAGGGCAATGCATGGTTCTAAATGGTTCTAAAGTACTTACAAAACTAAAGTTCTGGTGGTGAAAATTTAATTATTATTTCATTATTGACAATTTTTATGACAGAACCAATTAGGAACTGCTATTTATAATGACATTTTGAGAGTTTTGTTAGAGTTTTGAAATTTTCACCACCAGAAAATTAGTTTTGTAAGTACTTTAGAATCATTTAGAACCATGCATTGCCCAAGCCTAGTATTTAGTAGAAATTGCACGACTTCCTGGAGACCTCTATTTTACTTTGGTTTGATTCTCGCCTTTTGAAATTGTGCTTTTGCTGCTTTTTAAGTTTTAATTCCCTTTCTTTTCTCCCAAAAGGAGTGATCAATAGAAAGCCCTGAAACAATATGTACTATAATTCCCGCCTTACATTGGGAAGAATTACAAGTCCTCATATTACTTTGTTTCTAAAAGTGAGGATTTCCATAGTAATAATTACATTTGGTATGAATTAAAATGTACTTTTTGAAAAAATTATATTATATTGGAGAACATAACAACTCCTAAAATTATTTTAAAATTGTCCTTCCTTGTAATGTTAAGTTTTATGTGGATCTTAAGAAGCTATTTCTTGATTTAAGGCAGGGGTCCCCAAATTAAGGCCCAGGGGGAAATACAGCCCTCCAAGGTCATTTACCCAGCCCTCACTTGGGGTCAATGGCTTGAAAGCACACAACAACAATCCTATCTCATCAGCCAAAAGCAGGCCCACACTTCCCATTGAAATACTAATGAGTTTATATTTGTTAAAACTGTTCTTCATTGTAATTATTGTATTGTTTTTAAGTGTTTTTTGCACTACAAATGTGCAATGTGCATAGGAATTCATTCTTTTTTTTCAAATTCTAATCCAGCCTTACAACAGTTTGAGAAACTGTGACCTGGCCCTCTGTTTAACAAGTTTGAAGTCCCTGATTTAAGGTGTTGGCTTTCTGGTTGATGTCTGAATGGGATGGGCTGAAGATGTCACTGCCTTGGTCCTTTCATTACAGGCTGCTACTTCCTGATGGATGTGCGGTGGTGTAATATTAGCTAAACAGTATAATTTCTCCAGCGGCGTGGGGCGTAGACATCCTGTGATAATGCGGCATGTCTCATTAAGAGCCACACCCACTGGTTTAACGTGATGAGATGTATTCCACACTGGGCATGCACATTCAGCAACAGAGTAGCAAAGCACAAGGGCAGTTGTCTTCACAGAAACACCTCAGCAAACGAGAGTCCAAAAGTGGCAGGCTAAAACCTGGAACCTCAATCAGTGGCTGAGACCGGATGAGAGACTCCCCCCTGGGCACACAGAAGACTGGGCGACTTGAAAGGGGCTGAACAGGCTGTGCTCTGGCACCAAGAGATGCAGAGCTAACTTTAAGAAATGTGGCTACAAAGTGGTGTCCACAGCATGCAAGTGTGGAGAAGAGCAAACCACAGACCACTTACTACAATGCAATCTGAGCCCTGCCATATGCACAACGGAGGACCTTCTTACAGCCACACCATAGGAACTCAAAGTGGTCAGCTTCTGGTCAAAGGAAATTTAGTATAATGCCAAGCTTTTACCTTTGTGTGTAGTTTTTTGAAAATACATTATAACTATAGTCACAATTCGCTTCTTACACAATAGATAAATAAATAAATGTTAAGTTCTCCCTTTCCAGTTTATGGCATGGTGTATCCTTGATAAATCTCTTTGCGAAGTGAAACCATAAAATGTTCCCTCACATTATCTGGATGATGGTAAACGTTAGTCCACTGTTGCGGTTAACTCATCATATGTGTTTGGATGATAGTTATTATGACCCCTTTCCCCCAAAAAGCAGAGTACTGTCCTTTAACATTGCCACACAGTAATATCAGAAGAAAACACCAGGCGAGTTTGTAGCAGTTATAAAAACAAAATATTTATTTTAATAACACACTATGTACAGGATCGCATCACATAATTCATCACAAGTTTGTATAGTTCAAATCAGAATGTCTGTACATAATAAAGGACCTTCAATGGTTTCTACATTTATCTTTCTAATCACATGACAACCAAAAGGAAGCACTTTCCACTTTAGAAATTTTAAAAAAGTTGCGTATCAGACACACACCCCACAAACATCTGTGATTTCAAACTTTTTCCATTTTTTAAAAAGGAGTGGGCAGGAATTGCACTTGCTCGTGTGATAAATCTGAAAACAGAAAGTTTCGGGAGAAAAGGCAAACACGATTATAAGAAATTATACAAAACGGGACAAAACGTGATGGCTTTTGGACAGCAAGCATAACAGCACTTTGGAAGTAGAATCAGACTGGAAATGGCTATATGGTTTGATTACAACGCTTTAATTTGTTTTAACTTAATGTTCTATTTATTGTTTTAAATTGTGGTTATATTTGTTTATATCTGTTTTATGTTGTGGCATCAAATTGTTTTGAAGAATATATAAAGAATGGTGATTAAATAAGAGCAACAGATGATAAGTAGAATATAAGAAGGGAAAGAAAATGTCAGAGAAATTGTAAATAGTTAGAAGAACGGGACAAAAGGAAGAAGAATGGAAGTCTACAATTCTTTCTTCCCCCCCTTTTGACACCCCCTTCCCTCTACCTTTTCCCATAACTTTATCATTATATATATATATTATGTTATTCTATGAAACTTATTAATAAATATTATTTAAATTACAAAATCTGACTTACAAACGATTCCTAGTTGTTAGGGGCTACTTGAGGAATTGCAAGTCGCTTCTTAGTTAAGAACAGAGGTGAGACATCAGGAAGGGTTTATTTTAATTTAATTTGGATTGTACAATTAGGGTTTAACATAACCACATTTCCTCGCAAGAAAATATAAATAAATAAAAAAATGACAAAGACGACATATATATTATATATCCAATTTAGCTAAGAAAGAAAGAAAAAAAGGTGTCTCTACTAAAGCTTTATCACCAATACTTGTTTCCATAACAAGCCAAATCTTTCAAAATCTAATGATCACAGGGACAGAAAGTGAGTTGAAATCTTCCAAACAGGAGCACAGAAAACAAAACAAACACCACCGTGCTATTAACGCTTCCCTATGCGATCCAAAGTGCAGAGAGAGAGAGAAAGAGAAAGAGCTGGAGTTACACATTAAAAATGTACTGTTCTGACTGACATACAAATTCAATTTAAGAACAAACCTGAGCCTATCTTGCTTATAACTTGGGGATTTGCATTTTGTTGTCATCCTGGGGTGGCGTTTACACTGTAAAATTAATACTACATCAATTGCCGTGGCTTAGTGCGATGTCACCATGGGAGTTATAGTTTTACATCGACCTTAGTATCCTCTGCCAGATAGAACCAGTCCCTCTCCAAACAAAAACTCCCACACTTTCCATAGCATTGAGCCATGATTAATCAAGGGATGTTAAACCGCATTAATTCTGATGTATAGATGCATCACTGGCTTTCTGTAGCATTTTCTCCTTTTTTTATAGTGATCTCGTGAAAAACTTGTTGTGGTCTCAATGTATCTAAAAGTACAATATTGGTATTTTGTTGTCATACTGGTTTTTGGTTTTCTGTTTGTTTGTTTGTTTTGGGGGGTTTGTGTGTGTGTGTGTGTGTGTGTGTGTGTGTGTGTCAGGAGCGACTTGAGAAACTGCAAGTCAATTCTGCTGTGAGAGAATTGGCCATCTGCAAGGACATTGACCAGGAGATGCCTGGATGTTTTACCATCCTTTGGGAGGTTTCTCTCATGTCCCCTGCAAGGGAAGCTGGAGCTGACAGACAGGAGCTCACTCCACTCCCTGGATTCAAACTGCCAGTCTTCAGGTCAGCAGTCCTGCCGGCACAAGGGTTTAACCCATTGAGCCACCTGCGGCTTTTGTCATCCTGTCATCTTGGTTCTCTGTAGCATTTATTAGCCCCAATGCAAAATCTAGCATCAAATACAGTCAAAATTCACAAAGGTTACTGGAGTTTTAATAACTTTTTTGAAAGATTTTAGAAAAGATTTTACATGTAATGTAATTTCATTTCCTATATATACTGTATATGAAGCTATGGGATTGTAAAATTAAAATAAAATAAAATAGAATAGAATAGAATAAAGGAGCTATGGAATACTGAACCCCCTTTGTGACTTTGGGCCCACCCTGTATAAGCCACATAATCTGTAACGTGAACCCCAAATAATCTGGAAACCAGAGATCTTGTGCACGCCAACTCACAATAGAAGCCGTATGTAAAGTCTCTGTGTGGGTGATTATTGCTTGGGAGCATGCTGCCAGTTGACATGTCAAAGAATCTCCATTTTAAATAAGCCCTTAATTACATACTTAC